GATTTTTTAAAAGCATTTTAGAAAAACTTGCAGAGCTACAATGTGATTAAATCTTACATATATAATTAGAATTTTCGTTTTTCAATATTTTTGCATTCTAAAGTTTTTGATTACGTGCCTAAATGGCGAGAATATCAAAAAATAAAAGCAACCCTCATGTTCCAAACATCATGTTTTCATGTCTTTAACTAAACATTTTTTTGTATGTCGTTTAAAAACATATGTACATTCTTCGGTATTAAGCTACAAAGTAAGGGACTTATATTATTTAGAATTGAACTAATACCTGTACTCGAATACTTTTGGTTTTTTTGGCTCACCTTTGTACGACAAATATGAATAATGATGTTAAATCGAACGCTAATGAAGTTCGCCCTCTGATCCATAAGTATACAAAAACATTTCTCCTTTGTTTTCTCAAAAAAAAGAAAAGTGCATCAGAGACCAATTAAACTACAAACTACAGTCCTTTGGTTTATAGTTATATATATGCATAGTTTTTTGTTCAAACAAGCCATAGTGTGTCGGACTTAAAAATCAATTAAATATTTTTCTGCTCCACAGAAAAGAATAATTTTTTAATTTATTCTTAAATATTTATGATACTATGCTTCTAAAGAAGTGCTTATAATTGACCAAGCCTTTTTTAACTTTCTTAATTCACGGATCCGTCATCTGTGGTTCACAGCATGACCAGCTTGTGTCCCGGCGTCGGCTGGGTACGTAAATTGTTTAAATAATAGCTAAATTGTTAAATTACTTTTCATAAGACTAGGACCCACCCCAGTCAGGTGTACGAGGTGTGTTCAAAAAGTAAGGTGACTTTTCAAATTTCGCGGGCAACATATTTTCGATTATCGATTTTTTTGTTTTGTTATATTGGTACACTCTTCCCTAACATCTGTACCAAGTTTCAATGGAACATCCTCTTTTGTTTGGTTGTGAGAGGCGTAAAGTTACAAGTTATTTTGCGAGCTCGGCGATTTTTTGCTATCGAAAAATATGGATCAAAGGATTTGCATCAAATTTTGTGTAAAAAATAAAATTAAGTGCTCTGAAACACTTGAAATGTTGACAGTGGCATACGGTGAAACTGTTCTGAGTAAAAAAATGTGTACAAGTGGTACAAACTCTTCCAAGATGGCCGGGAAGATGCCAATGACCAGCCTCGCTCTGGACGCCCAAGCACGTCAACAACTGATGAAAACGTTCAAGCAGTGACGAAAATTGTTTTGGAAAATCGTCGAATCACTATCAGAGAAGTTGCTGAAGATGTCGGTATATCGCTTGGCTCGTGCCATGAAATTTTTTCAAACGTTTTGGGTATGAAGCGAAGTTTGTTCCGAAATTGCTGAATTTTGACCAAAAGAACCGTCGCATGAGCATCGCTCAAGAGCTGTTGAATGACGTCAACGACGACCCAGATTTACTCAAAAGGGTCATAACTGGTGACGAATCATGGGTATATGGTTATGATATCGAAACCACAAAATTTGATGCAAATCCTTTGATCCATATTTTTCGATAGCAAAAAATCGCCGAGCTCGCAAAATAACTTGTAACTTTACGCCTCTCACAACCAAACAAAAGAGGATGTTCCATTGAAACTTGGTACAGATGTTAGGGAAGAGTGTACCAATATAACAAAACAAAAAAATCGATAATCGAAAATATGTTGCCCGCGAAATTTGAAAAGTCACCTTACTTTTTGAACACACCTCGTATTACGTCTAGCATCAAGTAGAAACACCTCCCGTGATCCTTTAACCGTTTTCGGCCGTCCAGGTGTTCAACCTGTTGGAGGTGCTTGTCCACCTGGGCGCGCAGGTGCAGCATAGCAAAGAATTTAAGCCTCAAATGTTCCATTCTATTAAAAACACAACAATTAAGAACTTTCAACAACGGCGCCAAAACTGTAGGACCACTTTGGAGAAAACGCAAAAAGTCCCGTAAGGCCTTGCGAAAGTGGCAAGACAACGCCTATATTTGCGTTAAACCCCAAAGGTGGTCACGCTGCCTGGACCTTAAATCTGTGTGTCGCGAAATTCTCTGTTCCGCCGCATTTTCCGCGAGAAAAAAGTGCTGTCGACGTGAGCCGGGGGTGAGGGGCAGATCGGAGCGATCAGTTTTCCGTGGAAAGTGATCGAATACACCAGTTTTCCCGTCGCGTGTGTTACCCTTGTGCAATACAGTGCTACCAGACCGTCAGTGTTGCCCCCATCAAGACCCTCCCCACCCCGGCGTTGCCAGCCGCCCCATCCCGGCGCTGCCATTTCACTGTTACCTCCAGTCCTAACAGATGTTAATATGCTGCTCTGCTCGTGTAGTATTGTAATATTGTAGTGTTGAGTAATTTTAGTCAACGATTATTTGGATAGGTGGCGCTGCCAGCATTGAAAACTTGTCGATAAGCTCAATCTAAAGTTCCATCTACCGGAAATAATAATTGCTCAACAGAGCTCCGCTGTCATAGCGAAAGTACCCACAGAAGTGAGTTCTGTAGTTTAAATTCCAGAACAATTGCTACTATTCGAACGTCAAACATTCAATTATTCATTTAATTAGTACGATTTGAGCATATTGCTCTGTTGAGCAATTATTTTCCGCTAGGTGGTTCTTAAGCTTAGGCGGCCGCAAAGCTTGCATCGTCTTGACCTATAGAAATCTTTTCAGTGCTAGCAGCGCCACCTATCCCAGCAAGCTTGAAAGATTTAGTTAAGCCAAAACTTCGTTTACTTAAAGTACTCAATATTTTAATATCAGGGCTCGGCTTGCCAAAGCCTGATTTATTTCTTGTTTGACATTTTGTATTTGTTTTGTTTATAATATATACAAAAATATTGGCGCAATTAAGCTTAATTTATATTAAAAAGGACCCCAGTGTGACATGCAACCATACATAATTGCATTCTTACAAATTAACATTTGTTTTTTGATCAAAAAGTCAATAGTTGTTTTTATATATCTCGTTCAGTCGTCTGGCTAAAACTATACTAATTTTAAGGATGATCCTCCTATTACAGATAGAACGAGGACAAAGCTAACTTCGAGAAGCCGAAGTTTTAATACCCTTGCAGACGAAAAGAATAGGGTATACATAAATAAATTAGATTTGCATAGTTTCATGCCAATAGCTTTTATACTGCAAAAAGTCATATAAAAATAGAAAAGAGGGATATTTTCGCCGCCTTAACAAATTATTACTACGGAAGCTTTAAGATATAGACGTCCGATTGGCAAGCGCTTCTACCCTGATCAAGATATGCGTAAATAAATAAGACTTGGAAAAATTTATGTCAATAGCTCAAACATCAAATTTGGACTGATTTCACCCTATTGTTCCTATGGGAGCTATGGGATATAGACGTCCGATCGGGGCGATTTTCCAACTCGATCTGCGTACATGTTTTAGAACGGCTGTGAAAGTTTCAGATCGCTAGCTTTTAAACTGAGCTCGCAAATGGTATTGAAACAGACGGACAGACGGACATGGCTATATCCACACCCCTATTGATTCTGATCAAGAATGTATATACTTTATAGGGTCGGAAACGTCTCCTTCACTGCGTTTCAAACATCTGTCCAAAATTATACCCTCTGCAAGGGTATAAAAAGGTGTTTATTTTTTCCTTAAGGAGAAGAAACTATAGGTAAATAGGGCAACTCATGTTTGCCAATAAATTTCGAATTAGGCAATGGTTTTTTTAATCTCGACCTTAAATTTAAAATTAAGCTTTCATCGTACTCTGCCATTGAATAGTTTTATCAATAAATTTAATCGAGAGGCGGGTTGGGAATTTAAACATAACTTCCAAACGAAGTATAATTATAACGGGCGAGCTAGGCCAAGTAAAAACTTGAAAATAAATATTTTAGTTCAAGTAGTTCCCTTAATGCACAACAAAGCAATTTATCAATAAAGGGAATACCATGAGTAAACATCCATATTCATTCATTCGAGTTCACCTGTTGCTATCTATAGTAATTGTAGTGATAGTTTCGAACTTTATTCGGCCGCTTTATCTACAAATATGGACCTTCTAAATCGTTTTACAGTTTGGCTTTAAAAACTATTACAAAGAAGTAATTCATATTAAATAATTAAGTCCGATCAGAAATTATATAACTCTTGGAATAGCCCTTGTTAGGCCGATCATCTCAATAGTAGCAAGTTTTGTCCGACTAAAGATAGCTCTTAATTTCTGTTTATGTTATGCACTTATACACACAAAAGCGAATACGCGAACAGTATATATATATACATACATATGTATACATATGGTGCACAGAAATGCCGAAAGATTTAGTAAGAAGTCTTCGGTGAAAGAATAATTTCGTTTCAGGTGAAAGCATTTGTTGACTGTTTTAAAGATTTTGCATAAGAATATATTTTTTTAATTCAAAATAAATATAGTGGCCTTAAAATATTTGTTTTGACTAATTTGATAAATTCCAACCTTTATAATCGCAAGACTTTAATATAACTTTCTGTAAAAAAGTTAAAAAGTGTATAGTGTTAGTTTTACAATTATATATTAAACATTAGGGTAGTGGCTCATGTGTACAAATGTATTTACATATATTAAAATGGACAAAATTCGAATCACGTGAATCCCGCGGCGATATTCGTTCGATTTTCGTATTGAACTCATCTACAATTGAATCAGAGATTTAAAAATAGATTTAACAAAATTCCACATGCTTGCCTACTTAACGTAAATAAACGTAATCATAAATAAAATCATATATGTATGTATGTGCGCGATATGCAGTGATCTATACAATTGTATAAGTACATATGTGAATTTAAGTGTATATATATATATATATATATATATATGTATATATATATATATATATATGTATATATATATATATATATATATATATATATATATATATATATATATATATGTATATATATATATATATATATATATATATATATATATATATATATATATATATATATATATATATATATATATATATATGTATATTTAATGATTTAAATACACACTGTGGTGTTGGCAAGGGGGTAACCTACATATGTATACATATATGAATAGTACATAAATGTGCATAAAACTGCATTTCAAAATAATAAACTTACAAGACCCAAATACATCAAATAATTCTTTAACGGTTTCAAAACTAAGGCATGTTTTTATAATTTAAATTTGGAGCATAAAAGATTGTCGTCATGAATTGATTTTTTTTTAAATTGAGTGTTCCATCTTTCGAGTGAGTACCGTATACATATTGTTTTTTCTCTATATATTCATACGTATGTGCTCAAATTAATAAATTGTATATGTATTTTAAAGGTGTGAACGTACAGATGCAAAGGAGTGAAATATTTTTTCGTCACCTAAATTTATTAGACCCAGGAATAGAAAGTGAAAACAAAGCACAAATATATGCAAAGCACTTTAACAACAATCCACCCAACTAAATACAACCCAGACTGCAGCCAACATGCATTTACAGGATTACCTCAGGTATGTTTTAAGCTTGAGTGATTCCAAAAGAAAAAGAAATTCAAACAAAATAATAATCGAGCAATATTCGTTATTAATCGATAGGCAAAAGCCAAATCGAATAGGTCCTGCCGCCTATATGTACATATATTAAGGAGCATGCGCTTTGCGCAATTACCGCCTGGAAAATGGGAGCTTATTCATTGTCAGCTGGCTTTGCGTTAAATTAATAGGGAAACTTTACTTGGACGGGAAAGCTCACAGAAGCTAACAAATCGATACATGTATTTTATTTCCGTGAAAATGCTTAAATATATAATAGCAAACTTATCTTATGTGAATTAAGTAGTAATATGTTGTGCACAAAATCAAAGCATCAAAGTGAATAGAAGCAAGCCCAATGTATAATTCTGTTAAACATTACCAATAAAGGGATTTCTTGGATTAAAACATTTTATAATTGTGAACACTATATTCTACGGATTAGAAAAAAATGTGTAAAAAATAGTTGTGTATTAATATAAACAAAACCGTTCGAACATATTGCTATGCTAAAATTCAAACTCGCTTGGTATGTACAAATTTATTTTTAATAAGCTTCGCTTTCAAGCAACTAATTGCTCACTAAGGCTTACATACATATACAACATGTTAAATGTGTATATAAATTATAACTTTTTATTTCCTGAAATAAGGTCCAAGGGGAAATGCAATTAAGAAATCATGGTGAAAGAAAGTCATTAAATAAAATACACAAATCCAGTCCTGGAACATCCTCACGTTATGTTTTAAACCATTTTTAGCTCGAGTTGTAAGCTATTATAAAAATGGGGATGTTTTTGAAGGGTAAAAACAACAAAATACGTTCCTATGACACCGAAAACAGTCATTTTTAGAAGAAAATGTGTTCAGTGCTTTCTATAAAACCTTCGACAACTTACATAATTTATTTTTATTGCAATTACCTTAGAATATTCATAGTTATACAAATAGGAAAATGCAATTTAACAAATCGATAAAAAATCAAAAACTGGTAACGTTTTCAATGTAAATTTTCGAAGCCGGCTTAAAAACAGTTCTAGGGCTAATTTTGTTTTAAGCGCTCCTTAAGAATTTATCGACATGATAAAATTAAAGCTGAATTCAGAAGCCAATCCAAAAGTGCCGTGACCACAATTTTTTGAAGGGGGTCCCATAACTCCCTTTCAACAAGAAAGGATGTTTATATACCCTTGCATTATTACTTAAAACAATGGAGCTATGTCAATTTTGCACTGCATTTTGCCATCGTTTCTATTGTTTGATTTGACAAAAGATTTTGACAAAACTAAAAGCGTAATTCTAATATAGTATTATACCCTTGCAGAGGGTATTATAATTTTGGTCAGAAGTTTGTAACGCAGTGAAGGAGACGTTTCCGACCCTATAAAGTATATATATTCTTGATCAGGATCAATAGGGGAGTCGATATAGCCATGTCCGTCTGTCCGTCTGTCCGTCCGTCCGTCTGTCCGTCTGTCCGTCTGTTTCAATACCGTTTGCGAGCTCAGTTTAAAAGCTAGCGATCTGAAACTTTCACACTCGTCCTAAAACAAGTGTACGCAGATCAAGTTTGAAAACCCCCCGATCGGATGTCTATATCCTATAGCTCCCATAGGAACAATCGGATATAACTTGCAAGAATGGAAGATATTTCGCGCAGTGTAAAAGCTATTGACATAAATCTTTCCAAATCGTATTTTTTTATGCGTACCTTGATCAGGGTAAAAGCGCGTGACGATCGGACGTCTATATCCTATAGCTCCCATAGGAACAAAAGGGTAAAATCGGTTAAAATTTAATGATTTTTAGGATATTTCGCGCAGTATACAAGCTATTCCCATGAATCTTTCCAAATCGTATTTTTTTATGCATACCTTGATCAGGGTAAAAGCGCGTGGCGATCGGACGTCTATATCCTATAGCTCCCATAGGAACAAAAGGGTAAAATCGGTTAATATTTAATGATTTTTAGGATATTTCGCGCAGTATACAAGCTATTGACATGAATCTTTCCAAATTGTATTTTTTTATGCATACATTGATCAAGGTGAAGGCGCGTGCCGATCGGACGTCTATATCCTATAGCCCCCATAGGAACAATAGGGTGAAATCGGTCCAAATTTGATGATTATCAGAATATTTCGCGAAGTGTGTAAGCTACTATCATAAATTTTTCCAATTCTTATTTATTTACGCATATCTTGATTAGGGTAAAAGCGCTTGCCGCTCGGAAGTCTATATCTTAAAGGAGATAGGAAAAATTAATTAATTAATTTTAAGGCTGCGAAAGTATCCCTTTTTTTCTATTTGTATATGACATTTTTGCAGTATAAAAGCAATTAACTTGAAACGATGCAAATCTAGTTTACTTATGTATACCTTATTCCTTTCACTACTTTTTCACTTTTAGCAATTTCGGCAAAGTCTGCAAGGGTATTAAAACTTCGGCTTGCCGAAAACTAAATTAAACTAAATTAAACTAAAACTAAATTAATAGAAAAGAAAATGGCACTGGAATCTGAAGTCCTTCAGCCTTATATAGTATATAATTACTATATCTCAAAGAAATATTTTGTTAAATAATAAAGCCGCAAAATACAATTTTTTCAATTTAATTTATTTTTTTGTGTGTTTCTATGTGAGCTATATGATATATGTATTCCATAGTATTACCAAATGCCAAAGAACAAAAAAAAATTAAAATTAGAAAAATGTTGCGTTCAAGTTGAGTTTGTTTGAAATTTAGACCTTTTTTTTTAGATTTGTAATCCATATTTGGCTTATATGGGCACATATTACCATTAACAAAAAAACACAATAAAAAGCTTAATCAATTGCAAGGGATATCTTTTCATGAATTTGGTTATTTGACTTGCTGGGACACTTGTAATAAAGTAAATAAAATATATAGTTTTTATTCATGAAAATTATTTGATAATTTAAAGTTTATACCTGCACTAAATTCTTGCAGGCGATTTTTATGGTTTTTTGTTGTTGTGGATTTCCGTCCTCTGCTCTGATAACAGACATTTCAAATTAACAAAAAACAATGAAATTGTATTGTTTTTTAATTTCTTTGTACACAGACTTTATTTTAACTGCTTGTCAATAACCCCAGTTGATTGACAGTACGACCGTACCACACATAATTCTGATGAACTCTCCAAAATGCAGTCAGACTGGAAAGATTAAAGTTTTTCCGCTGGCGAACTTGTTTTTCGATGTGAGTACTAGGCTTTACCTTCTGTTTAAAAAAACAGCTGTTCGTAACTCAAGTTATGGAGTAGGCCCAATGTGGACAGGATTATCGAGTAAAGCCTAGTATTCAGATCGACAAACGAGTACGCTAACGTAAAAACTTTAATCTTTCCAGTGTGACCAAAATTTCGAAAATTCGTCAGAATAAAGCGTGCTACGGTCATACTGTCAATCAGCTGGGTTTGTAGACAAGCAGTTAAAATTCAAATATCGTATTTTCGGGAAGAGCCTTTAAAAGATATTAAATACCTTGGCAAGACAAGTCTGCCGCTGTACAAAGAAATTAAAAAACAATAATATTTAAATTTAACAGATGTTTTTTTTTTAATTTACTGCTAATTTTTTCCAAATTATTGTGTTTTTTTCGTACATTTTTGACCTAACACATTAACATTTTGCTCTAACAAGAGGCACCCCAGATAGTATTAATGTTATTTTGTCCTCACATGTAAACTCCTGCAGGTTTGCGGGTTTTTTGATTTTTTCCCTCCATTTTTTTTAAATGTTCGGTGAGAAGCGCACGATAAAAGATTAAATTTTTTAATCTTTTCGCTAGGGTTCACCCGAAGTTCATTTCCGCAGACGGCAACGCAATGAAATTTTCTGGGTTTTTTTCGTCGATCTAAGTACCGAGGTGGAAAAAAGGCCCGACGGAAAGTGAACGCCAGCAGTTTGCCTCTCGCTCTCTCTCATGACTGGCGTACAGTTTTCGTCGATCTGAGTACTAGGCTTTATAAACATAATCACTTCTGCCTTGAGGGTGGTACGGCGACAGAATCTTCCCAAACTTACGAAGTACCTCTCGGACTCACATGAAATTCACCGCCGTTGCCCTCACTACCAGTTGAACATCTGAAAATATGTTAATAGAGTTAATAATTCATTATTATATGAGTTTTATGTTATACTTCATGCGTTTCCTTTACATTAGTGTTTTATAAAAAAAACATCGATAGTCACAAAAGATAATCGATGTTCTCAGAAATTTTAAAAACATCGATGTATCGATGTTTCTCCACCTCTATGGCAGTCCTAGTCTGTCTTTTGGTACCGAATTCTTTTAAAGAGTTTTTGAGAAAATTATAATGAATAAAACGTTGACTTATGCGATTCGGTCTCTTACCAGGCGGCCAAAATTATATGCATATACATCTTTTGTAGATCTTCCGGTCAAACTGTGTTTAAATGCGCCTTAGTTATGACCATAGTTATTTAATTGATATTCTAAGCAGTATGAGGATTGGATGGGTCCTGTAAGTTTCCTCTCAACCCATATTCAAATAACGAGCTTTAAACTTTACAATTCTCTCTTATTTTTCAGAAATGAAGAAAATGCGTCTGCGCCAGACGACAGTAATCATAATCATGCATGTCGGCCTTCCTCCAATCATGAGCAGTTTATAAGTCTTAACCGTGATTGTCAAAAGAATCTGTTGAGGCTTCATCCACCGCCGCCTTCAAAACCACCTCCTCTCGCGGGTGCTATCCTGCAATCTCGCCTTCTGCAACATATAAACTTGGGCGCGAATTCAGCAGAAACAGATGCATTAGAGGAGCACTGTAGAGGAGCCAATGTCCTTCAACGGTCGGCCACTTTGCCAGCGAAACATAACCGCTTAGGGGTTCGCAGCCGCGTGACTTTTAAAGTCCCATCGTCAACAACTCCTGCTCCTACTCCAGATCCAATCCAAATTCAGGTTGCTAGAACTGTGGTAGGTCCTAAGGAAAAGGAATCTAGCAAAATGACTTCAGAAGATTTGTTGCAGCCGGGCCATGTTGTAAAAGAGCGTTGGAAGGTGTGTGCTAAATTTAATATTTACCTACAATTGCGGTCAGAATAATACCACTTACAGATTGATAATCACTTGATACTTGATTAAATTATTGATGCTTTTGAGTAATAGTTTAGATGATTTTGAATACTTGGTATCAGGTATATTTCTATTATTGGTAAATTTAGTAAATTCCAAACAAAGAATTTATTATTTGTTATTAATGCCTGGTCTTGTACATATTACTTGTAATGTTTAAAGGAAGCGATTAAATTTAAATTTTTCACTTCAAAACCAAGAAAGAAAAGCTACTCCGGGCGTAGCCGAAGTTGATATACCCTTGCAGAATATTCTGTAAATTATATTCTCCAAAACTATTCATATGATGCATTCTTAATACTCATAGAAAATCCCAACTTCCTAACTTAACACCAAAGTTATGGCATTTCCGATCGTTCAGTTATATGGCGGCTAAAGGTAGGTCGGATTGATTGGCCAAAAATAAAACCCATATATAACGTACTTAAGTTTTAGTTTTAATTAGATATTTAAATAAATTTGTATTAGGATGTACCTATAATCATAAATATTCGAGTTTAATAGGGATAATGATTTGTGCTATTATTTTGAGTGCAACTGTGGCAATTTGTGCAACATTAACTGATTTTGAAAACATATTTTTTATTTTCATACCTTGAAGGTGGTGCGTAAAATCGGCGGTGGCGGTTTTGGAGAAATTTACGAGGGACAAGACCTTATTACACGTGAACAGGTCGCCCTCAAAGTAGAATCTGCCCGCCAGCCCAAGCAGGTGCTTAAAATGGAAGTGGCCGTTCTAAAGAAATTGCAGGGGAAGGAGCACGTATGTCGATTTATTGGATGCGGCCGAAATGATCGATTTAACTATGTCGTGATGCAGCTTCAAGGAAAGAATTTAGCCGAGCTCCGTCGTGCTCAGCCGCGTGGCGCATTTTCGCTCAGTACAACACTTAGGTTAGGGTTACAAATTCTCAAGGCCATTGAATCTATACATTCTGTGGGCTTTCTTCATCGTGATATTAAACCGGTAATAGTTTTTTTGTGCCCTATTATTTGTATTAAAGTTTTAATGCTTTGGTGACGAATATATTTTCTTTTTTCATTTTAGAGCAACTTTTCTGTGGGTCGTTTGCCTTATAATTGTCGACGTGTCTATATGCTAGACTTTGGATTGGCGCGTCAGTATACCACTGGTACTGGTGAAGTGCGGTGTCCAAGAGCTGCAGCTGGTTTTCGCGGCACTGTTCGCTATGCTTCTATTAATGCACATCGCAATAGGGAAATGGGACGTCACGACGATCTGTGGTCACTTTTCTATATGCTTGTCGAATTTGTAAATGGTCAATTACCGTGGCGAAAAATAAAAGACAAGGAACAAGTTGGATTGACAAAGGAGAAATATGACCACAGAGTGCTGTTAAAGCATTTGCCGTCAGATTTAAAGCAATTTCTAGAACATATTCAATCTCTTACCTATGCAGACCGACCGGACTACGCGGTAATCCAATGATAAGCAGAATACAGGAACTCAATATAAAATATAAGTTTTTTTTCATTAACAGATGCTTATCGGTTTATTCGAGCGGTGTATGAAACGACGCGGCGTCAAGGAGTCTGATCCATATGACTGGGAAAAAGTGGATTCCTCGACGATTGGCAACTTAAGTACAACAACAGGAAACCCATCAGTTCCTGTTAAAAACGATTACATGCACGGGAACATAACACAAATGACTGTGGCAGCATCTAACGCAAGTGGCACGGAATACGTAAGTTCTCGTGCAAAAACTTTTATTTTAATACCTGGAATTAAAGTCGTTTAAGTAGAAAATTTGAAATAAAGTATGCTATATTTAATTAATTTTTTTTTATTGTTTTTTATTTCCATATAATACAACAAAATTTTTACAAACTTTTCATTGGTTTAAATGCAGTTATGTTTGGTAGTATTTTGGCATTTATTAAAGCACTTCATTATTTTTAAACTCCATTAGATAACACTTAAAACTAAGAAAAACTAAAAATACGGACTTTTTTATGTCACAGCTTATTTCGTGCAATGAACTTCATGTTAAATATATATTGACTATTAAATAACTTAATACTTTGTGTGGCCTCCCTTCTTGCACCCGCAAGAGGTCAATATCTAATAAAAACAAGAAAGGAAAGCTAACTTCGGGCGGAGCCGAAGTTGATATACCCTTGCAGAATTCTCTATAATAATATTCTCCAAAATTATTCCTATGATGCATTCTTAATACTCATAAAAAATCCAAACTTCCTAACTTTAAAAACACCAAAGTTATGGCATTTCGAATCGTTCAGTTATATGGCAGCTATAGGATATAGTCGGCCGATCCTTATGAAATTTGGTAGGTCGGATTGATTGGCCAAATATAAAACCCATAGAAAATCCCAACTTTCTAACTTTACAAACACCAAAGTTATGGCATTTCCGATCAATCAGTTATATGGCAGCTATAGGATATAGTCGGCCGATCCTTATGAAATTTGGTACGTCGGATTGATTGGCCAAATATAATACCCATAGAGAGTCCCAACTTCCTAACTTAACAAACAGCAGAGTTATGGCATTTCCGATCAATCAGTTATATGGCAGCTATAGGATATAGTCGGCCGATCCCGGCCGTTCCGACTTATATACTGCGTGCAAAGGAAAGAAGGGTGTGTGCAAAGTTTCAAGTCGATAGCTTTAAAACTGAGAGACTAGTTTGCGTAGAAACAGACAGACGGACAGACGGACATGGCTATATCAACTCAGGAGGTGATCCTGATCAAGAATATATATACTTTATAGGGTCGGAGATGCCTCCTTCACTGCGTTGCACACTTTTGACCAAAATTATAATACCCTCTGCAAGGGTATAATGAACTTAAAAAGGCTCTCTTGGAAGAATGGGCCAAGATTCCAAAGGAGACCACAGAAAAGTTGGTTTCTTCGATTCAAACTCGATTTAAGGATGTCATCAAATAGAATAGAGGCCCCACAAAGTGTTAAGTTATTTAATAGTCAATATATTTAACATGAAGTTCATTGCACGAAATTAGCTGATCGGTCGGCTATATTATATATGTGCCATAAGAATCGGAAAAATAATTTGTAAAAACTATACAACAACTTCTGTCATAATTTTATAATATATCGGATGTATATATATATACAGCTACTATAGAGTGAATTAAAAAATTAATTGGGAAGTAATAGATAAAGGTCATAACTTTTTTGTCTTTAGACATATTTATAAAAATCAATTTTTAGACGTTTTATAGAAATTTAAATTTTTATTATATCTGGAAAACAAAAAAAACTATTCGTCCTAAACAGTTGATTTACGTATAAAATTTAAATTGGTTCAGTTTACTTGAAATTTGAATATTTAAAAAAATGCAAAAAATGTTTACGCGTGCAGTTTTAGAACATGCATTTGAAAATCACACATTGGAATGTAAATAGTGTTTCCTGTAAACATTTTTTTTTTTACAATTTAATGCTGAATTGTAAAAAAAAAAATGTTTACAGGAAACACTATATATGTGCAAAATAACTACAAGTTTACTTTGAAACAAGAAATGAAAGCTAACTTCGGGCGGAGCCGGAGTTGATATACCCTTGCAGAATATTCAGTAAATTATATTCTCCAATATTATTCATATGCATTCTTAATACTCATAGAAAATCCCAACTTCATAATTTTAAAAACACCAAAGTTATGGCATTTCCAATCGTTCAGTTATATGGCAGCTATAGGATATAGTCGGCCGATCCGTATAAAATTTAGTAGGTCGAATTGAAAAGCCAAATATAAAAAAAAGAAAGAAAAAAAACCATAAAAAATCCAAACTTCTTTACTTCAAAAACACCAAAGTTATGCCATTTCCGATCGTTCAGTTATATGGCAGCAATAGGATATAGTCGATCGATCCCGGCCGTTCCGACTTATATACTGCGTGCAAAGGAACGAATGGTGTGTGAAAAGTTTCAATTCGATATCTTTAAAACTGAGAGACTAGTTCGCGTATAAACAGACAGACGGACATGATTATATCAACTCAGGACTCGATCCTGTTCAAGAATATATATACTTTATAGGGTCGGAGATGTCTCCTTCACTGCGTTGCACACTTTTGACCAAAATTATAATACCCCCCTGCAAGGGTATAAAATCCAAAGATTTGCAAATGATTAAACAAATTTAAGATCCTAAGACTTTTTCGCATTTTCAAGCAAGAAGTGTTGATTCATTAATTAAGATAGAAAAGCATATAAATTTCAAACATTGTTATAGAAAGTAATAGAAACAAGAAACGATTACATTTCGATTTCTATGCCTTTATTATTCAGATTTGTTTTAATTTTTATTTTTTTAATTTTTTGATTTTCCTATAGGAGCTATATGATATAGATGTCCAATTTAAATTTAATTATAACCGTAACTCCATAGTATTTAAATATTTCCTAACCACAAAGAACAAAAAAAAAATTAAAAGCAATAGCGGATCGACAGCCCAAAATCGACGCAGCTTCATTGTTTTTAGTAATATAGGTAGAGAAATCGAAATTTGGTCCTTTTGTAATAACTGCAAGGGTATATAAACTTTGGATTGCCAAAGTGTGCTTCCTTTCTTGTTTTAATTTGTTTTCCGATTGTTTTTATGGAAGCTATATGATATGTAGCCCGATCCGGCTTGTTCCGATTTTTGACATGTACATTTTTAATAAATTGCGGTTCAATAATTTTTTCCCTATCAAATAGTGATCAAAATCGAATGCATGATTTATTTTTTAAGTTATAATAACTTATTTTTATAATCAATTACCCTTTTTAGTTCTTTGCTATATTAACAAAAATGAATACAGATAGTATTTCCTTTATTGGAAATCTTTTGAACAGGTGCGAAAGCGAGCTGATATCGAAACCGCTCATATTACAGCGACCGAACCATTAAATATGAAGGAAAAAGTAAGCGCATAAAAATAAATTATTATGTTAATTTATTTTCATGAATAAATATTTTCAACCTAATTTTTTCTTTTAAAGGTTGATAAAAACTGCAATGCAACCTCACTAGCGCCGAAAACAAAGGGATCTGGCGAAGTCAACGTACAACACGGTAATACAACAAATAATCAAAACATTACACCAAAAGCGATGCTGCAACAGCATTCTACGCTACCCACAAACTCCCAAGTGGTATTACCTAATATTCAAAGTGCGCCAATTAATTTACCAATGGTTGGTATAGGAAGCAACGATGTTCAGGTAATGGTTCCACAATCAGCAATTCACCCAAAGAACACCCAGGCGCAAAACGGGGCTGGATCCTTTTCAACAACAAATCAAAACAACTCTGCCCCGGTGTATGGAAATTCTGTAAGTTTAAAAATATCATCTTTGCAGGTGTTTTTTTTAATAATTTGTTTACAGTTTCCACAGTTGGAAGATAAAGCACCTATCAAGTTTTTGCCAACGAAATCAAATGCAGAGTGCGAAAGTATAGTTGACGTCGTTGCCAAGAGTATATTTGAGCCGAAAACCATAGATTTAATGAAAAAACTCACTTCGCCAGAGTTAGCCAATAAGCTAATACAAAAGTCAGGAGAAGTGACAAACGAGGAGGGCTCTGAAGTCAAGAGGGCATTGGAAGAACAAAAATCTACGTTTGGACGTCTTCGTGTGCTCACAGCGCCCCCAATGAGTGTACATGATCTAACTGCGGGTGGCGGCCATAGCCAACAGGGGTCTGATTTATTAATAAAACAAGAAGCAAATGCTCAGTTTTCGACTAGCACCAATGCTGGCCCCGTGGCCGGGAACAGCTCGTCCTCAAAATTTGCCATCAACCACCATGGTCAAATTTTTGGAATGGCTGGCATGCCGCCAGTAAATCGACGATCGGCAACATCAACCAACTTACGGCCATCTTCCTCTGGAGCAAACAGCAGTTCAATTCAAAGGATAAATAGCGGATCGACCGGTGGTGGAGGTGTTGGCACTGGAAGCAACACCGCCAGAAGCAGTGTTGCTGGTGATCATTCTGTCACCCAATTTGCTTTAATCGACGACGAAAACGTGTCAGCATTACAACAGGTAACCAAAGGCGGAGCCCTCACGCTGGCATCCCAATGGAAGAGTCAGTTTGATGACTCAGAGGACACTACGGATAACGAATGGAACAGAGAACCACAGGTAAAATAAAACCCCTACTAAAAATATCTGAAGCTCTTAAAATGTCTTCCTGTAGTCGTAAAGACCATTTTTGGTCACTTTCGCCAAATATTTAATAATCATATTTAAACTAATAATTGCTAGCATGGGCTTACAATTGTTTTCAAAATGTATTAACCCAAATATATAAAAACATGATAAGTATACCAACTACATTTCGCCTCGCAGTCGCAACCCAATTTGGAGAAATTGATTAAAGTGCCCTTTAATGAAGCCAAACAATTTTCAAAACATGTCGACGCTGATACAGGCAAAACATCTAATATCCTAATTAAAGGAAAAGACATCCCGAAGAGGTAAGTGCACTTATGGTTCACCTTATTATTATTAATACTACTTTAGTGGCCGAGTATACATAAGTCGGAATTGCCGTTATTTTTTGTCATGAACTCTAGTTTTCATTTTACGGGCTTTAAATTTGGAAATAAATTATTGAGACTATATTGGAATTTCGGTTATTTTTTCATACACAATATTAGTATTTTTATATTCTCATTAAATGCATTCATTATGAGTGTAACTGTGATGAAAGCTAAGTGCAAAACAAACTTCTGTTATAGAAGAAATTCAAATATAACAAGAAAGGAAAGCTAACTTCGGGCGGAGCCGAAGTTGATATACCCTTGCAGAATGCTCTGTAAATCGGATCGGTTGGCCAAAAATAAAACCCATAAAAAATCCCAACTTCCTAATTTTAAAAACACCAAAGTTAATGGCATTTTCAATCGTTCACTTATGTGGCAGCTATAGGATATAGTCGTTATGAAATTTGGTAGGTCAGATTGATTGTCCAAAAAAATAAAACCCATGAAAAATCCCAACTTCCTAACTTTACAAACACCAAAGAAATGGCATTTCCGATCAATCAGTTATATGGCGGCTATAGGTTATATTGTCGATCAATTAGATATCTTTAAAACTGAGAGACTAGTTCGCGTAGAAACAGACAGACGGACATGCTTATATCAACTCAGGAGGCGATCCTGATCAAGAATATATATGCTTTATAGGGTCGGAGATGTCTCCTTCACTGCGTTGCACACTTTTGACCAAAATTATAATACCCTCTGAAAGGGTATAAAAATGAGTTGTTTTAAGAGGAATGTGAGAAGTTTATAAGTAAAAGTTGAAAAGAAAAGGAATGTGATTAAAAGTCAAATAAAAAGATATTCACCTTCCATTTTTATTGGTCATAGGATGACTAGCAGTTTCTATCATGTGAAATTTATTATGTTTCTCTAAGTTGTTTCTTTTTTATACCCTTGCAGAGGGTATTACAATTTCGGTCAAAAGTTTACATTTACAGACATACTATAAAGTATATATATTCTTGATCAGCATCACCAGGAGAGTCGATCTAGCCATGTCCGTCCGTCCGTTTCTACGCAAATATAGGCTTAGAAATCGAAATGTAGTCGTTTTGTAATAACTGCAAGGGTATATAAACTTCGGCTTGCCGAAATTTACTTCCTTTCTTGTCTTAAATTATTTTTCACACCTTTTTCCATTAAAGATTTACAGACAGTGCTAAAATTGTAAAAATTTAAGTAAAGTAGTTCCTAACGTGCTCAGTGTTTTTTGCTTTATATATAGAGACAAATCTATATTGTTTATATTTGTTTGCGATTCCAAAAGAATTTTTCGGGAGTGAAAACTGGAACGAGGTCTTCGTAAAATATGTATTTAACTATTTCTTAAATGACTTATATTTGGTATTTATAATTTTAAAAAATGTGATTCCTGATTTAACTTACCTTAGGTACACACTGAACATAACTGGAATTGAAAACTATGAAGCTTTGAGAATCTCCATACCACACTGCTGGTCTGAGCCCGCAATGGGTAATGTATTACGAAAAGACTTGGAACCACCGGCTGTGCAACAAGCCGCATTTGATGACACAGTAAGCATACTAAATAATTACCCACGTTCAGAAATAAAACAAAAACTTTTTTGATGTGATTTTTGTATAACTTTATCGGAAGACATTTTAAGTATCTTAAGGCCAAACCAGGCAAAAAAAATAACGTGAAAACAATTTCATTGTCAATTATGCTCGCAAAAACTGAACTTGTAAATATATTAATTATTTAAACTTTCAGGTTTATCGCATGGATATAGCGAGAAATGTTTGCGTGAGGGAAGCTCATTCGGAAATCACTCCTTTGGCTAAAGTTGTGCCTACCACTTCCTTGGTTTCCAGGAATGTCTTACCTTTCCATTTTAAAGAGGACACTGCATTTCAGCTAAATACATCAAATGATGACCGAACCAAATCAAAACATCGAAGCAGCCTTCCTAATGTTTCAATTACTGATATTTTTGACGACCAGCCGATGCAATCAAATTCTGACGCTATGCTTATAGAAGACTCCACTAAACCCTGGCAGGTACAGACAACATCTTGTCAAAGAAGTAATTTACCTTTGAGCGCAGAAATCCAGGAAAACAATGGTTGTATTAGTGGTCGTTTGGAAATTCGGGTTATTCCAAAAGGTAATTATTATATTCTAACTCATTATTTTGCTTTCTAGGCTTTACGGATTTTAGTTAAGTATTTGGTACATAATGTATATTTTTAACATATTTTGATATTAATATAATATCCTATTTATATGCCAAAGGGAATTTAAAGCATATATATTTAAAGTATATATTCATGATCAGCATCATTACGAAATTTTATGTAGTCTTTTCAGTTTTGAAGCGAACTGCATGAAATTTTCCCTACTATGTTATATAACTGTAATTTCTGGCCGCTTCGCATTTGGGCGAGGGAGTTGCGTGCTGTCTAGGAACGGGTCTTCCAAGTATCCAATAGTCAGCTATGCGCAATTTTGTCAGTCTTCTTCTGTTCATAAGTCTCGATAGTGTCAGGGTAAGTCTGTTTGTATGTGTGAGAAGGGTTGTTCTGTAACGTGTGGCAGTAATAGTGTTAGATGTAAAGACAGCATTTATTTTGAGATCTCGAAATAAAGTGGTATGGGGCGTTTATCGTTAGACTTAAAATTTTGCTTGGCATGATTCAGTTAGTGTTATGGTGGCAGTACCATAAAGTGAATTTCCTAAGAAAGGGAAGGGGAGAGACCACTGCCCCAACGAAGGAGCCGTCTCATCTTTCGAGCTTTTTGCCGAGTGGAAGCTCAGGCAGCCACAATATGCTGCTTCCAGGTAATTCGGCTGTCAATTCGGAGTGCACTTGTCGCCAGAAATGCAGTGTTATCTGCATATGTCTGTTGATGGGCAAAAGAAGGCCTGATGTGTATTTCGTAAAAGACCAGGGCCTATCACACTTATTTAAGGGACTTTAGCAATTATAAGGTTGTCAAATAACTCCCTTCCGCTTTTTTGCGCTTAATTCAATGCTTCATAAATATTGATACAGTGAACGGATTTAGCTAAAATATGCGCCGTTTTGTTCGATAACGTGTTCCCATTAAGACGGCCCCCTCGTAGAAAATTTACTCCTTATTTCCAAAAAACTCTGACAGCCACTTTTCACAACCCTCTTTTGAGCCCAACTTTACACCAGTAAGGGCATTCGCCATGGACATGGCACTATGTCCGGGCTATATGGTGGATGCAATAAAGTCTCCCATCCGAGCTCCAGTATCTTCTGACGAGTCATCAAAGAAGTGTGTGGTCTGGCGTTGTCCTGGTGAAACACTACACCCTTCCTGTTGGCCAATTCCGGTCGCTTCTGGTCGATCGCCAGCTTCAAGCAGTCCAGTTGTACGCAGCAGATGGTAAGATTAAGCGTCTGGCCATATGGGAGCAGCTCATAGTGTATGATTCCCTTCCAATCCCACCAAACACAGAACAAAACTTTCCTGGCCGCCAATCCCGGCATGGCCACTGTTTTGGACGATTCACCGGCCTTCAACCAAGATATTCTGTCCAACTGGAGTCAAATCATGCGGCACCCAAACATCCAGCTTTTTTTTGTATTCAGCCTTCTGCACATGGTTTAAAACGGTTTGGTGACTAACTCCTATCTCCTCGGCGATGTCACGAGATGTCACATGCCGGTCTAGCTCGATGTTTTCCATGATTTGATCGGTATTCGTCGTCACAGGTCTTCCGCCGGCTGGCTTATCCATGGTGTCCTTTTCACCGGCTCTGAATCGTCGAAACCATTCATCCCCTAAAACACCAATAATCTCACAGAATGTTTCTCCAGCGGATTTATCTTTTACAAAGAAACACTTTAAAACACCGCGAATTTCGGCGTTAGCGAACTCCATGTTTACACAACGAACATCCACATAGAAGGTTCTGCCAACAAGAAGATCATTGAGTCCGGAAATTGTTTTAAACCAAATTTCAATCCAAAACCAAATTTCGGTCCAACAGAAGTCGCTTTTGATTAAATTCAAATCCGCAGTGTTTTGCAAGACTTCTTGCAACGCATTTTCATTGCACTTGTTGAACTATTGGTCCAATGCGTTTTACCTTTATAAGTACTTCAATGTGGAATCAAAGCTCAAAAGGATATAATAATTTTGTTCCTTATATAATGTATTTCCTAGACAAGTACATATCACATTTTTTTAAGGAAATAAGTAAGAAAATAATACATTTTCTTAACACTTAGAATGACAAAATGGTTTAAACATAAAAATTTATACTGCTTATTAATTCAACAATTAATTTTGGGTGTTAATAAAGAACAACAAATTATTTTGTATTTCTTTATTTAGAAACTTCTCATCTGGATGACTCTGTTTACTATGATGCATTGGCAGCTGTTAAAAATACTTCAACCACAAATCAGGCCCACGACCTTTTTGATAAAGCCCATATTTACTGTGATGAATTAAAAAAAAAAGCTGAACTGATAGCTTCCCCAACAAATACAGCTAATAATTTGACGACACCAATCCACAAACACACTACCGAAAAGCCAATCGAAGCTAATTGCTGTAGCGTACATTCTGCCGATGTCAATAAACTAAAGTTAAACGGAAATAGTGAAACTTCTAACGCAATGAATGATCAAGAAAATGTCAATGCAGGTGACTCTATAACTCCATTGGCCAGAGACTGTACTGACGGTTACAGGGAAACTGATTCAGGATGCGATCTTCCACTACTGAATCCTAGCAAAATACCAGTACGCCAATCAAAATGTGCATCGTGGGCGGGGGCTGATACTACAATAAGTGTTTCTAAAACATTTGAGTCCATAAAAGCACCACAGGAAATCCCTCACAATCCACAAAATGACACGCCAAATTCCGTAAAGGATATTACACCAGTTCGTAAAAATACATACTCCATTGCTTTAGAATATCCTCCTAATATAACGGATCTTACACCAGGTTTGTCCTAAATGTCAGCTCTACTTATAAATGGTTTTGTATGCTATAAAAGCTATATAAGTGTGAATAAACATGCAGATTTTAAAATTTCCTTTTACGCACAAAAAATCCCTTTTGCCTTAAATATATACGGAAAAAATAACGCTCTGTATTTTTGTTCCTTGTGCCGTTGTTTAAAATGAATTGTTCAATATTTTGATTCTTGGCAGATGTCGCATTTTAATACAGAAAAACATTTCGTAATATCTCTGAAGAATCATATCACTAAGAAGTATTAATGCCCTTTCTAAGCACTTATATACAATTTAATTTTAATAATGTTATAAAAGGACTTACGGCTTCTCTAAGTTTAAAATTCGATGTTTTTGTATATTCATAATATGCTATGAAAATTAAAGTCGGCTGTGTGTCAGCATACAAATTTTTAGATTTCTTTATAATTTCTTTCGAGATATGCTTTCATCCAAGATATGCTCGTTGGAAATATATATTATTTAAATAATATATTAGCATGGTTTTAAATTTAAAGTTCGGAAACAAAAGTTATTATTATTATTTCTTAAAAATATTTATAGAAAAGTATATTATAATAGTTATTTAAAAACAGAACGATTTGCGGCCCACTTCCCACGTTGTCAATATGTGTAGCCAACTTGCGTTGCATGGACATCACAAGAATCTGAATGTTCAATTCCTGATATCTAGCTTAAGGTTCAGAAACATTCGGACAGATAGACTCTTCTGTTGATGCTGCTTATTATACTGGACATTTTTACTTTACAGACATAAAAACGCTGTTATTCACTTCGTTTAACACTGTTTTGTTTTAATAATTTAGGTTTACGTCGACGGAGGGAATCTACCGACGGAAAGTATGTCACAGACCCAACTCAACTGCAATTAAAATTCCAAAGGCCCCGATCACGAACTTCTAGCAGGTATGTCGTGAAATAAAATTGATCATTAAGTTTTAATTAAGCTTGCATATCTTTAAAGGACCCGTGGCATTTCCAATTCAATGTTAGGAAATTTTGATGATAACGGTACACTTATGACTAGACGTATTGGAGCCCAACTTGTTCAAAACGATGAATCAAATAATGTACCAACGAGTGAATATTCTGCTGAGCTACAACCTAAATGCAACATTTCGCCACCACCGGGGGATCCCAAAATGGAAAATAGTGCGCGGCTTCGTCGTTATAGACATAATTTAGAATAATCAATTAACTTCAGGTTTACAGTGAATCTATCAAACTCTCTCAACGTATACTTTTTTTAATATAGCTGTTTGGCAAACAAAAGAAGTGCCATTAACATCTTAAAATTGTTTAATGTAAACCTATTTTGCCACTGCAACAATTTACATTTTGTTTTAGAGATGGAATTTAACCAGTAGTAAATTAACCACCATTGGGGAGGCAAATTCAAAATTTTGAATTTTATAATTGTAACTGTTTGTTATCCAAGATATGCTCGTTGGAAATATATATTATTTATATAATATATTAGCATGGTTTTATTTTTATGATACAAATAAAACCGACCAATTAAAAAACGTAATGTACGGACAAAAGAAAAAACAATTATTTTTGGGAAAATTATCCAATGTTATATTCTAAACTTGAACTTCCATTCAGTCGACTGAGAAAATCTTTGGCCTTAATAGACTGAATAGAAGTTTGGTAACTTAAGTTTCGTTTTCTAGCCCTAATGGATGAATAAAAGTAGGTTTTAAATTGCGACATTTTTTAGGGGTTTTCAGCTTTATATCATATTTTGCTTTCATGAAAATAAGAAATAATTTTTTGGCTTTATTTTATAAATACTTATGAGCTCTAAAAAATTATGTTTTCTTACGTCCAACAAAAAATCATATTTTTCACCCGATAATGATGATTTAGCCTTACTTAAGCACAGTTTGTCACCACACTTTTGAAATGTTAGAAAATGACTTTTTTAATTAGTTTAAAATTATTAAAAGTCTTAAAATTGTCCGAAATAAAACACGAAAAAAAATATAAAACATATAATTATTTGTTAAGGATTTTATTTTAGAGAATGTTAGTTTTGGTCTTAAATAAGAGCTGATCCGATTTTATTCAAAGCAAATAATTATAATAAATAATTTTAATTATTTAAAAATAAATTTTAATAGGCCTAATCAACGCATTTATCAGACCTTTAGTTTTTTTCTGAACTGAAAACTGGAACAGGGACGTTAAATCAAACGAACGAATAAAAAAAGTAATTTCCTCACATTTAAAATAACGCGAGTACCAGAGCTAATGTAACAAAAGTGACAAGCTATGCTTATAAAAACTTACGTTATAATAATACTTCCGATGGCTAATATGTTGGTTTAACTATATTTATTATTTTTATTGTCAGATAAGAATATAAGACTATAATGTTCATAAAACTACATGCTAATATATAATTTTTTTAATATAGTTTTTAATAAATTGAAATAAGCAATTTTTATTGGATCCAGTTACAATTCTAGTGGTACCCAATTAGACAAATTGGTCAAGAACTGACAATTTTACGACATAAACAAATTCGTTATTTCGTTTTTTCTGGATTTCTTGAAATTAACCCAAATTACCATATTTAATGATGTCTACTAGGTAGATTTTTTTTATATCAACTAATTAACCATACGGAAATAGCGACATGGACATTTGTGTATATAGGAATCTATAGGAAATAATATACAACTGTGTTTTCAATCTTTGTCATAATGATTTGTACGGTGAAAATTAGATTTCAAAAGTGAGATAAAGAAAATTTAATTTTTAAAATTAAAGTTTATTTAAAAAATTTTAATTCATTTTCATGAACGTTTATTTTATTTGTCAAACGGCTGTATTATCAATAACGTTGAATACATAATTAATATTTTATTTTGAAATTAGTTCGAGCAGGTGCCATTTATTATGATTTAACATCCTTATGTAGTCTAAAACAGAACCATAATTTAAACCGTCGGATTTATGATCAGTCCGATGAAAGAATAATGCATTCATGAAAACACAAAAGGTCGTTAACTATAATTGGAACTAATATCTACCGGTTTAGACTATCGTAACACAAGTATTGGAGGCCTCAACAGATTTCTCTTCTAGCTAAATATCATATGTAATATTATAATTTATAAATCATAGAGTATAGAATACATTGTTGTAATCAAGTTGCAGATAATCTAGATGTTGCAAATTTGTAGTTATTTAAATTAACGTCAATAATAGAATGCTCCAAAATTTGAATTTTGTTATTTAGTTATACATTAATTGAAAATGATCCAGTTGTAATTTTAATTTCAGGGATGTGTGAAATTCTCGTTTGTCATTAACCTTACGAAGTGCTTTCTATGAAACTAAGTTTTTAATATTGTTTAAGTACACAAAATATGTTATAATACCGTTATTGATTTATTGTATATATTACGCTACTATCGCAAATGTAATTGATAAAATTAACCTCAATAAAGTGTAATATTAATTCTGATAATTCTACTCAATACTCTATTACAGCCTGACAAAACGGACATACCGAATAAAAGTTCAAAAATCCAGTATGAAATATAAAAATACTTTTATTTGCCATTAAAATCTTCACCTACAAATTTGTTATTCGGGTTATTATTTTTGTTTCTATTGACAAGAGTTGAGCTGCTGTTCGGTGATCCTTTTATGGGCTGGCAAAATAAACACAGACTCGTCATCGGATGCTTTATTTTCATGATTATCTCATCAGAGTAGTTTCGGGCTTGTATCTGGACATGCATTATCGCTTGAAGTGCTTGCTGTAAAATTAAAAAAAGATAAAAGTGAATTTAAAAAAAAATTATAATTCTAATTTTGTAGTCCATAATTGTAGTCAATCAAAAACTTGCTTATCGAGTATCGGAGTATTTCAACTAGGTGAAGTTATAAACGTATACCATTCTCTCCCAACAGAGAATTTCTATCGAAACGTCCGATAAGATTTGCGATTATAATTACGTACACCGACTTGCTAGTTACTCAGAAAGTGTAAATACTTTATGGAGTAGAAAATTTCTTATTCACTGCGACACAAACTTATGACCAAACTACCAACTGCAAGGGTATACATAATAGTGAATTCTTTAAGAAGCAAACTTCGGCAAGCCGAAGTTTATATACCCTTGCAGTTATTACAAATCGACTATATTTCGATTTATATGCCTATATTACTAAAAACCATTGTTTCATTAAACTATGTAGATTTTCGTTTCTATGGCAGCTATTTGATATTGTTTTCCGATTTTAATTAAATAAAAACCGTAATTCCAAAAAATTTAAATACTACCAAATCCCAAAGAACAACAAAAAACATTAAAAACAACAAAGGTATACATTTTTTGAATTGTTTTTTTCCGATTGTTCCTATGGGAGCTATATGATGTAGTCGCCCGATCCGGCTCGTTCCGACTTATATACTACCTGCAATAGAAAGACAACTTTTGGGAAAGTTTCAAGCAGATAGCTTTAAAACTGAGGGACTAGTTTGCGTAGAAACGAACGGACGGACAAACAGACGGACATGGCTAGATCGACTCACTTGGTGATGCTGATCAAGAATATATATACTTTATACTTTTGACTGAACTTTTACTTTTACTTTATAACTTTTGACTGAAATTATAATACTCTCTGCAAGAGTATAAAAATGATTGGCACGTATTCAAGACTGAATCCAAAAAAAACAAAGTGAATAAACTTTATAGTTAAGTTCCCCGACTATTACATGTCCCTTACTCTGTTAACCAACTTCAATATAATTATGCCCCGGCAGACCATGTCTCAGAGTTACATGACGGAGTTTTGCGATTTGTGGCTGTTAGAGAAAAATTATGGATAGCTGCCGTTTAGAAAACTTTGAGAAAACAAGCAAACATTTTAAACTCAAGTTTTAGTGGTTTATGTTGTTCGATAATTCGTAAATCTAAAGTCTGAGTTGCCCATGTATGTATAGAAGATTTATTACCTTTAGTTTGCCAATTTCAGTACGCAGAATTACAATTTTTGTCTCGCCGTGGACTAAGATATCTCTCATGTTATAGATTTCGTTTTGAAGATTAATAAGTGAATCGTCGTAACTATTCAATGTATTTTTTTCATTAAATGCCCTATATCGCAGACATGAAGAAGTTTTTCTGATCTGTAATAAAGATTGTGTTAGACTTAGAATCTAAGCCAGATAAGCCCTCACCTGATTTTTTAGACTCGTATCAAGGTGAATGGTTGATGTTTTCCGAATCAAATCACTAGAATCTTTAAAGTTGGTTGGTCCTAAGATCCCACTCTCCTCGAAAAAGTTTTTTGCTTTATCAATATTTGAATTCAAAGATTGCATTTTTTTTGCTTTATTATTCGATTTAGAATAAATTTGAAAATTTTTTACTAGTTTTATATATAAAAAATGATTTGTTACTTCAAAATCTACTGAGCATTGTCAATTATGTCTTTAATATATCTCCAACCAAATTTCAACACTGAGTCAAATCTTGGTGTCACAAAAATCTTTCTTTGCAAGACGCTTTTATGAATTACTTCTAATAAAAACATTTTACGACAATAAAAATGTATTTAATTTAACACTATATATCTTCACAAAAAAATGTTTACATTTACAGCGTATTTATAGCATTAAGCATTTTTTAAACCGTCTTAAATGAAATAAGATGCCATTTCGCACCAATTAAAAAAGGCTTTTTTGTTGTTTAGAAACATTTTACTAAAAATTAGTTTTTTTAATTCGAAATTTTAAAAGTTGACAACACTGTGACACCGATTTATTGTTCAAAACACTTACATATAACGAAAGGGAATTAAATATTAAAATGGCGTCATCATCTGCCGAACTTCAGTGTGAACACAAAAAGCAAAGAGCAAGCAGCACCACCGCCCAACATTAACAGGTATTTCGCTCTCATGAATATATATACAGTGGCTCACAGTTTATTTCGTGCAGACGTAAACTTGAGGTTAAAACTTATTTAATTAGCAAACTATTCGGAATATAAAAAAGATTTAAATGCAATTATGTTTAATAGTATTTTTGCATTTATTTAGTCACTTCATTATTTTTAAACTCCATTAGATAGCACTTAAAACAAAAAAAAACTAAAAATACTAAGTTAATATTTTGTGTGTCCTCCTCTCTGGTTCAGAACACCTCTGAGACGATTTCCAGTGGAAAAAACAAATTTTTTTAGTGGTCTCGACTGTAAATTTTCCCCTTTCTTCCTTTCCTTTTAGGTCTTTTTTGTTAGAAATCTTCCTCTTCCCTATGGCTACGTCCAATATTTCCCTAAACTTTCGATCACATTCAAGTCTGGGGACTGTGCTGACGTAATGACCACGTGAGGGCAGTTCCAGACAGGCGAAGTCTTCACAATTGCTGCTGAGTGTTTGGGATAGTTATCCTGGTAGTACCGAAATCGATCGCTTATGCCCAGTTTTTCAGCAGTTTGCTGGCCATCCATGATCCTGTCAATAAAAACGAGGTTGCTCCGCCAGAAGCTGACAGACGAAAACCTTAACATGACCCCCGCCATGCTTGACCGTAGCTCTTAGGTGTTTGTTTTCGAGCTCTGTATTAGGTTCCCGCCAAACATATTTAACCAAAAAGGTTACATTTTGACTCGTCTGCAAATAACACGTTATACCAAAACAAAATCGGAAGAAGAACGTGCTCCCTTGTCCCTAATACAGAGCTAGAAAACAACCACCTAAAATCTACTGCCTCACGTAATGAATCCACCTGCCCAGTCACTAGACCTTAACGTCATTGAAAATTTGTGGGAAACTTTGGATCTGGCCATCAATATCTAATTAAAATTATCTTAAAAAGGCCCTCTTGGAAGAATGGGCCACGATTCCAAAACAGACCACAGAAAAGTTGCAAACTCGATAAAAGGATGTCATCAAACAGAAGGGAGGCCACCCGAAGTATTAAGTTATTTAATAGTCAATATATTTAACATTGAGTGTCTTGCACGAAATAAGCTGTGACATTAAAAAAGTCAGTATCTTTAGTTTTTCTTAGTTTAAGTGTTATCTAATGGAGTTTAACAATAATGAAGTGTCTTAATAAATGCCAAAATACTACCAAATCTTTTTCATATTCCGTATAGTTTGCCAGCTATATGAGTTTGCATTTCAAGTTTACACACGAAATAAGTTGTGAACCACTGTATGTATATACAGTTGAGAAAAAAAATAATACCACCACTACATCGCGCTCCTCACATTGTAAAAATAATTTATAAGGTTTAGTATTGCTCTAGTCTAAAACAAAGTTTCCTTTTTTTTTAAAGGGGGGGTATAGTATTTAAATTTTTTTGTTGCATTTCTTTTTTATTTTTTTTTCTGAATGCACAACATCTTGTAAAATTGTGTTAAAGTTTTAGATCGATCCGAGTAAAGCTTCCGAACTTATGGGCAGTTGAACGTAGGTAATTTAGCTCGTTTTGTATGGGTGTCCAAAACTTTAAAACGCTCTCCTGAAAAGTTACCATTTTCAAAGTCGGTGTACACGATCCTGCAAAATCGTTTTGAAATTTTGCACAGTTGTTCTCAACTAAATTCCTAAGGTAACGCTTTCGAGTTTTTTTTTTTTTTTGAAAATTTATTATTTTTAGAGCAACAAATATCTCGACGTTTTGGGCGAAAATCGGTGTTTTTGACGCCGCCGGAGATTGCCTGTATCTCAGTCAATTTTTAATATTTTTGGATGAAAAAAATCACACATATTGTTTAAATGTTGCCCAATCACATGCAAAAACAAAATTGAGCTGAGACTATCCGTATCGCAAATAAATTTTTTTTAAAAATTTCAGATTTTTCATCGAATTAACTAAAAAACTTAAACTTCCACTAAACGGTGCCAGAACTTGGTTGACTCCATGCCAAGATGCTGTGAGGCTGTTATTGCCAATAAAGGGTGCACTACCAAATATTAAATGGAGAATATACATGAATGTATAAATATAGCAAACTTATGAATTGTTTACTTACTAGTAGAGGGTATTAAAATTTGGTTAAAAGTGTGCAACGCAGTGAAGAAGGCATCTCCGACCCTATAAAGTATATACATATATTCTTGATCAGGATCGTGTCCTGAGTTGATATAAACATGTCCGTCTGTCTATTTTTTCGCGAACTAGTCTCTCAGTTTTAAGATATCGAATTGAAACTTTGCAGACACCCTTCTTTCCTTTGCACGCAGTATATAAGTCGGAACGGCCGGGATCGGGCGACTATATTATATAGCTGTCATATAACTGATTGATCGGATATTGGGATTTTCTAACGGTTTTTTTTTGGCCAATCAGTCAACCTACCAAATTTCATAAGGATCGGCCGACTATATCCTATAGCTGCCATATAACTGAACGATTGGAAATGCCATAACTTTGGTGTTTTTAAAGTTAGGAAGTTGGGATTTTTATAAGTATTAAGAATGCATCATATTAATAATTTTGGAAAATATAACTTACAGAATATTCTGCAAGGGTATATCAACTTCGGCCCCGCCCGAAGTTAGCTTTCCTTTCTTGTTTTTGTTAAATTTCTTTAGTTTCAATAAAGTGTCTAACATATCCTTAGAAATTAAATAATTTTTTTTACTTTTTTTTATCATTACCATTTTATCATTGTTTGTCGATTCCAAAATGGTATTCAACGTAGTTTAAACAAGAAAGGAAAGCTAACTTCGGGCGGAGCCGAAGTTGAAATACCCTTGCAGAATATTCTGTAAATTATATTCTCCAAAATTATTTATATGATGCATTGTTAACACTCATAAAAATCCCAACTTCCTAACTTTAAAAACACCAAAGTTATGGAATTTCCAATCGTTCAGTTATATGACAGCTATAGAATATAGTCGGCCGATCCTTATGAAATTTGGTATGTCGGATTGATTGGCCAAAAATAAAACCCATAGAAAATTCCAACTTCCTAACTTTACAAACACCAAGGTTATGGGATTTCCGATCAATCAGTTATATGGCGGCTATAGGATATAGCCGGCCGATCCTTATGAAATTTGGTAGGCCGGATTAAGTGGCCAAATATAAAAGCCATAGAAAATCCCAACTTTCTATCTTTACAAACACCAAAGTTATGGCATTTCCGATCAATCAGTTATATGGCAGCTATAGGATATAGTCGGCCGATCCTTATGAAATTTGGTAGGTCGGATTGATTGGCCAAATATAAAACTCATAGAAAATCCCAACTTTCTAACTTTACAAACAACAAAGTTATGGCATTTCCGATCAATCAGTTATATGGCAGCTATAGGATATAGTCGGCCGATCCCGGCCGTTCCGACTTATATACTGCGTGCAAAGGAAAGAAGGGTGTGTGCAAAGTTTCAATTCGATATCTTCAAAACTGAGAGACTAGTTCGCGTAGAAACAGACAGACGGACAGACAGACGGACAGACGGACATGGCTATATCAACTCAGGAGGTGATCCTGATCAAGAATATATATACTTTATAGGGTCGGAGATGTCTCCTTCACTGCGTTGCACACTTTTGACCAAAATTATAATACCCTCTGCAAGGGTATAAAAATATAGGTACAGTGACCGTTTAAACATAGCTTGAGTTGGTGGTGCTATTATTTTTTTTACAGCTTATTCTTATTTCCATAATACTTTTGATGATCAAGAACATACATACATACACATGTATTCTGAACATGTATTCTAAAGTAAAAAGAAAATGGATTTACTGGGTTACGAAGTCGACAACAGAGTTAGAAAAAAACGGTTTCTTCCAATTTTGAACATTTGTGCATGACAATAAATCGCAGAAGAATATGATCGTAAATTCGTTAGTAGTGTTATCCTGAATCGGTGAAGGTATTTTAAATTTGAACTGTCCGTATATGTACGAACACACATAAAAACCAATTGTTAATATACTTTTAAAGTTATAATAATGCTGCAAAAATAGGTTTTCAATCAAAACTGGATCTAATTTTAAGTTTTTTCTTCGAGTTGATTTAAGTGACCGTATTATGATCGTGTTTTATAATCAAAAATTGAAAAAAACATATTAGCTTGTATGCGTTTCCATTGACAAATCATATTCTCACAGAGTCACATCCATCAAGTGTCAGCGGCTTAACTTGCAAGATCAATTAACAAAGCCGAATATTTCAGGAATAAAATTCACCCTTAGGAGTGTGTTCCACAATGGAAGTGGCGGATCTAGAATTCAGTTGAATTAACTCAAATATTATTATAAACAAAAGTCTGGCTAATAGCGTCCCTACAGAGATCCATCTACCATCTACCATCGGTTGAACGGATGGTCTATAAGGTTTTGCCGTTCCCAAAATTTCCCAGTTATAGCGTCTTCCCACACAGATCCATCCACCACCCACCATAAGTTGAACGAAAATGTTCCAGTTGGTTCCCTATCCAAATTGGATGGACTCTTTTATGCGATAGTTTTTTCTGTGCAACTCTGAGTTCTTCTTCTTGACAGTGCAAAAACGTAAACATAGATAACGGGGAACTTTTGAAAATGGAAGGCGCCGAGGCAATAGGTATAAACAAAAAATGCTGTATATATTTGTAATGATTCATTGTTTTTGATATTACAGTCGATAATACGCAAACCGCCACCGCTGAGGTGGCAGGAGAACATTGAGCCCGAAAAAAGGTCCATGTGTACATGGAGATGGCTCAGTCCTTAATGTCCGAACAAAAAGTGAAAACCTCACCAAAAAGTACAAGTAACTTATATGCGAGCAACAATATATTGGCAAACCATTTTCACGATATTATTTTGTGCAGGCAGGAAAAAAAATGGGGCCAAGCGATGGGGCTCCATCCGTGTGCAGCATTACGAGTTGCTTCACTCTTTCCTAGGCAACATGGAGCAGAACACCTTGGAGAAAGAGTGTGTTATATTTATGGCTTATGCCGTCTTTCCACAGAGATCAATCCAACAATCCGTTAAACGGATGGTCCATAAGGTTATGCCGTTCCGAAAATTCCCAGTTAGTTCCCCATCCAAATTTGACTTTTTTATGCGATAGTTAGACAATGTTTTTTCGGTGCCACTCTGAGTTCTTCTTCTTGACAGTGAAAATTTTAACATTCACTACGAAAACGTAAACAATAATGACGGGTACCTTTTGAAAATTTAAGGCGCCAAATCAATAAATGCTGTTTATACTTGTAATCATTAATTAATTACTGCTCTATCCGTGTGGCAGTTCTCACAACATGGAGCAGAACACCTTGGAGAACGAGAGTATGTCTCCAGACTTATATTTGTGGTTTACAATAAAGCCTAGTATCCAGATCCAGATCCAGATCCAGATTCCTAGTATCCAGAAAACTGTACGCCAGTCATGAGAGAGAGCGAGAGGCAAACAGCTGGCGTTCACTTTTCGTCGGGCCTTTTTTTCACGTCGGTCTCCTGATCGACGAAAAAAATACCAGAAAATTCCATAGCGTTGCCAGTCTGCGGAAACGTGAACCCTAGCGAAAAGATTAAAAAATTTAATCTTTTGGCGTGCGCTTCTCACTGAACATTATAAGAAATGGAGGGAAAAACTAAAAAAACTCACAAAAGTCGATTGCAGGTGTTTACATGTGAGGACAAAATAACATTAATACTATCTTGGGTGCGTCTTGTGAGAGCAAAATGTTTTTTAGGTCCAGAATGTACGAAAAAACACAATTAAAGTGCAGCTATGAACTTTAAATTAGCAAATAATTATTAGTAAATTAAAAAAAACAACTGTTAAATTTAAATTGTATTGTTTTTTAATTTCTTTGTACAGCGGCAGACTTGTTTTGCCAAGGTAGTTGATAATATCTTTTAAAGGCTCTTTCCCGCAAATACGATATTTGAATTTTAACTGCTTGTCAACAAACCCAGCTGATTGACAGTATGACCGTAGCACGCTTAAATCTGATAAACTCTCAAACTTTTGGTCACACTGGAAAGATTAAAGTTTTTACGCTAGCGTAATCGTTTGTCGATCTGGATACTAGGCTTAACTAATAAATTATATTTATTGCAGAACTAGTAAATACTTTGTAAAGGTCTTAGAAGTGGACCCCGCTGATCTACAGCGGAAGTCAACGCTCGGACAGCTCTACGTCCCCTGCGCGCAAATGTGGACCCTAGGCCGAGCTTGTGAAGATAGCGCTCGAGAAATTCTGGAGGAGCAGCAAGCGCAGACCAAGATCATGACATTGAATTGAGCTTGGCTGACATTCCGATTTGTATATTCGCGTAGATCTCTTGCAGTCTGTTACCAAGTATCATTTATAGCGCTGTTGTGCTCATTTTGTGCATGTTGTGCAAAGTGCAACAGGCTAGAATGTTCAGCCACAGCTGTACAGATCAGCTGTTATCGGATGGTGGATGTGCTCTGAGGGAATCGGAGTTTCACATTTGGCAAAAATCCCAATCCGTTCCGAACAGATGGACTCTATGGGAAGAGGGTATAACAATTAACTAATAAAATGTAATTATTGTAGGTACTATGGAAAACTTTGTGAACATTTTTTTAAATCAAAGAATTCAAAAGATGTAAAAATAATATATTTTTATTGTTGAGCTAACAAGTCTTTTTGTCAGCTATCTGAAAACAAATTAAAAGGCGATATAAATTAAATATTTCAGTTTATTAACTTTTATATGTATGTAAGGGCTACGGGCTTTGCGAACACCGCAGCTTGCAATCAACAACAACAAAATGTATGCTCTGGCGACGGACCGTAGGTGTTGAGAGGCGGGCTCAGACTGAGTAGTCCAATTAATAGAGAGATAAGAGGAGCCGCTTAGAAATGAGTGATTCTTTAGTTGGAGTGGTTTGCCGCTGCGCAAAAAAAAAATGTAGAAACATTTTTTGAATTCTTTGATTTTTGATTTGAATTGAGCCTGGCTGACTGCCATTCTTGACGTTAAAAATAAAATGAAATATAAAATTATAATGACACAAAATATAACATATTTGTATTTAATGAACTTTATTTGTTCCCATTTAATCATTTAAATCTACAGACAAATTAGTCCGATTTGGTTGTTCACGTAGGTCACTACAGTCTATTGCCAAATCTCATTTATAGCTCTGCAACAGGCTAGAATGATTATTCTCAGCCGTTTAGGGCAGCTGTTATCGGATGGTAGCTCTGAGGGAATCAGAGTTTGACATTTGTAAAAAATCCCAACCGCTTCGAACGGATGGGAAGAAGGGTATAAAAGTCAATTTGTTCGCAAGTGGTTTTAATCTGATAATTGGGTCGGGAAAAAAATAGTATTTGTAGTGCCAAGCCCTCTGATTAGGTAGTTTTAAAAAGAGTTCGTCAAAATTTCATCTACCGTGCTGGAGGAGGTAAATTACATCCCGGAAACCAAAAGTTCTAGCTGGTGGCAGAGGCTCTGCATTTAAAATCTGGATCTACATCTGTAAGGGTCGTCGGTCAAGGCACAAGTTTTAGTATGCCAGTCAAGCCGCTAAAAACCGCATAAATAGAAACAAAAACAAGAAAAGAAAACTAACTTCGGGCGGAGCCGAAGTTGATATACCCTTGCAGAATATTCTGTAAAGCCCATAGAAAATCCCACTTCCTAACTTTACAAGCAGCAAAGTTATGGCATTTCCGATCAATCAGTTATGTGGCGGCTATTGAATATAGTCGGCCGATCCCGACCGTTCTTACTTATATACTGCGAAAGGAACGAAGGGTGTGTGCAAAATTTCAATTCGATATCTTTAAAACTGAGAGACTAGTTCGCGTAGAAACAGACAGACGGACAACCTGCACCTACATAGCAGGCAAATTTGTATACCCTTGCAGAGAGTATTATAATTTCAGTCAAAAGTTTGCAACTCAGTGAAGGAGACATTGCCGACCCTATAAAGTATTATATTCTTGATCAGCATCACCAGGTCGATCTAGCCATGTCCGTCTGTCCATCCGTCTGTCCGTAGAAACGCATTCTGTCCATTTTTGACCTATGAAACACTGTTGTCTGACAACAGAAATTCCAAGATATTAAATTTTTAAATCCTTGCCTGACGGACGTTCATCCAGACTTTAATTCAGGTGGATGTTTTTTTCGTCGATCTGAGTAGCCAGGTAAAAAAGAGCATAACGAACAGTGTTCGCCAGCTGTTTGCCTCTGGGTCTCTCTCATAGCTGACGAACAGGTTTCGTCGATCTCAGTGCTAGTCTTTAGCCAACATTTGTATCTTGGGTTTTAAACTAGGAAAACATCGTTTTCTTAGGTTTGATTAGATGTTGGAGATGCCAACCCCGTCAAGCAAAGGAATTTTCCCGGATGGGATTTTGGGTAAGCTTGACAGATAATGTTCGATCCAAAATATAATATACCAATATAATGTCATGCCATGGCCTGACTTATGGGTAAGGTTATTCCAGAGAAGTTTCGGAATAAAGTTTTCGTGTTTTTTCTTGTTGATTGTGTCTGACATCTTCGAATCACTTTTAAGTGTTAACAGTGCGAGCTCCAGGATTCACTCTGAACGTGGATAAGGAAGTTTTGTAGGTTGTAGAGTGTGTTCGAGCTGCCATAGTTGAATTCCCGCTACCCAATACTCCTAAATCATAAAAATATCAAATTTATTAAACATTTCGCCTCGGTTTCTTCGCCTCTCACAAATTTAATAAAGGCCAATGTTTATTGTTTTAGAACATTATTCCAATTTTGTATTTTTGAAATCCGTGAAGAAACTGACTGCCGATGTAGTAAAAAAATATCTGCAGGATGATTTTTTCCATACTTTTGGAGTTCCGGATACCATAATCTTGGTCAAGGCGGAGGTTTTTCTGAGAATTAACAAGGTATTACACACTCTGACTTCGGTATATTCTCCTTAGGCAAACGCCTCGGAAAAAGTTAATCGTTCGGTGATCGTAGCAAACCGCTCATACGTGAAACCTGACCAGAAAAACTGGGGCAAGTAGCATCTGCTGCTTTTTAAGGACAGCTGTATAGAAACGCCTCCATATTACATGGTCTATGGGCAGCAGTTTGTCCGCTCAGGCGCAACTTACAAATTATTAAGGGCTCTTCGCTTGTTAGACGATAGATCGATAATGCTTGCAAAAGAAGATTCGTTAGATTTGGTAAGGAGCAAGGCTTTGGAAAGCGGCGAGATAAAAACGAGCGGGCTTATAATTTAAGGTCGTGAAAAGTGCCGTATGCAGAGGGACACGAAGTGTTTAGAAAAAACTTCAAGCAGCGCAATTTTCAGGAGGGATATAACTCTAAACTTGATCTAGCTTGCTTGACGGCAACTTTAACTACGATCTTGTGGATTTGCAAGGTCGCTCTGCTGGTCGCTATTATTGGAAGGATATTAAGCAATAGTTTTGCCAAGTTTGGGTGGTATCAGTCCTAAATGTATAATCTTGCGTGGGAGGTTTTTTAGCATCGCTTGTCTCAGGAGTTTACATAAGGTTAATTCAGGGTGTCTATTCGTTCTATTACCTTTCTTAGCTCCGAAATTTTCCCGGGTAGGTACACAACTTATAATCCTGATCATCAGTCCAGACGAGGAGGTGAAGTCCTGATTGATGTTGAATCTAGTATAATTCCTGAGTATAAAATTATCGTTTCCCGTAGTTCTTAAAAATATTTTTTGTTCAAATATTTGAAGACCATTTTTTTTATACCATTGCAGAGGGTATTATAATTTTGGTCAAAAGTGTGCAACGCAGTAAAGGAGTCATCTCCGACCCTATAAAGTATATATACAAGTATTGATCCAAATCGCGTCCTGAGTTGATATAAGCATGTCCGACTGTCCGTCAGTCTGTTTCTAAGCGAACTAGTCTATAGCCGCCATATAACTTTGGTGTATTTAAAGTTAGGAAGTTGTGATTTATGGGTTTTAAATTTGGCCAATCAATCCGACCTACCAAATGCGAATTAACTAGTTAGTTTTTCCAATGCCTCCATGAGCTGCTACTTGTGGATTGTGTGCTCTACCTATCAATTCTGAACGTAACTTTTGAGGAACCCATAACTTCCAGGATAGGGTTCCTTGTTCTGTTTTACCCGAAACATGTTCACGCCGTGCATATAAAATTAATCCACTATTCGGTTTTTAAGTAACTGATGGTCTTCATCTGAAAAATGAGCTGACTCTAAGTTGATTTTAAGTCCTGCATCTATTATTTCTGCAATATGGCTTTCTGGTATGCGCGACAGTGCATCTGGTACTACATGATCTCTACCTTTTCTGTGACGAACTGGGAATGCTGAAGTTTCATAGCCCATCGAGCAAGTCGTCCTTTCAAGTTGGGTTATTTTCTTAACCAGACAATACTCTAGTGATCTGTAATCCCCTCGAAATCTTGCATTTCAATGTAACAACGAAATTTTTCCAATGCTTCTAACACAGCATAGCATTCACGCTCTGTTGCAGACCTATTTCGCTGTGCGGCCGGGATCGGCCGACTATATCCTATAGCTGCCATATAACTGATTGATCGGAAATGGTGTTTGTAAAGTTAGGAAATTGGGATTTATATTTTATATTTTATTAAATTTTATTTTTTATATTTTTATTTTATGGGTTTTTTATTTGGCAAATCAATCCGACCTACCAAATTTCATAAAGATCGGCTGACTATATCCTATATAATTAATTCTATGATCCTTACTGCCCGTTAATGTCACTCCCTAGCATCATAAAAGAGGACGAACAGGGTAGATATGCCAAATTCAAAAGAAGTATGAGTATTAAGAATGCATCATATGAATAATTTTGGAGAATACAATTTACAGAAAAATTTGGGAGAGTATATCAACTTCGGCTCCGCCCTAAGTGAGCTTTCCTGTCTTGTTTTTATTAGATATTGACCTCTTGCGGATGGCCAGATCTCAAAGTGATCACAAATTTTCAATGACGTTAAGGTCTGGTGACTGGGCAGGTGGGTTCACTGCGTGAGGGCAGTTCCGTATAATGTTTTTAACATTGTCTGTCCGTTTCTATATTGTCCTTTTTTCATCTCTCACGACATAGTTTTTACGCCCAATGGGGAATAGGGCTCTGCGCGTAACAAACACTGCTTGGTGACTCGGAAACCATTCAGGAGTACGAGTTCTCTTCAAAGGTCTTTTTTCCATCGGTGTTCCTTAGTCCAACAAAAAAAAAAATAATTTTGGCCCTTAGCAAAATAACACCATAACTCGACGAAGCTTAATTTTAAAATAGTTTGAAACCGATGTCGCATTGAACAAATATCGTCTCTAGCATTTTTCTCAATATTTTTTTCATAAGCATAATATAATTATACCCGTTACTCGTAGAGTAAAAGGGTATATTGTATTCGTGCAAAAGTATGTAACAGGTAGAAGGAAGCGTTTCCGACCCTATAAAGTATATATATTCTTGTTCAGGATCACTAGCCGAGTCGATCTAGCCATGTCCGTCTGTCCGTCTGTCTGTCCGTCTGTCTGTCCGTCTGTCTGTCCGTCTGTCTGTCCGTCTGTCTGTCCGTATGAACACTGAGATCTCGGAAACTATAAAAGCATGGCATTTTGCATGTAGATTTTAGGAGTTCCTACGCAGCGCAAGTTTGTTTCAAAATGGTGCCACGCCCCCTCTGACGCCCACAAGCCACAAGCTGTGGACACATTTTTGATGATATTATGAAAATTTTAATTGACATGTATTTGTTTCGTCAATACCTATCGATTGGCCTAATAAAAGTTTGCCACGCCCACTCTAACGCCCAAAAACCCATTAAACGCTTAAACCTGGCTAGCGCCTACATTTTCGCCTTTCATGGCGCCATCTAATGGATGACTTTGGAACAGCTGGCCAAGGTGCTCAACAGAGTCAACGTTAATTCTCGATAAGGATTTCTATTAAAGGAAATTGCGATGGTTTTCATTTGTCAATACCGAAATATATACCAAGAACTATGCAAATCAAATCTAGTTAGCCAAATTGGAGGTCTGAGTCAAACATTGGCGTATGTGTGTATGTATGTAAGCATATACATATGTATGTATTTACATTGTACACAGTTGCAATTGCCCGGCAAAGATAACTCCTTTCAAAGAAAGCTATTCGCTATACCCGTTACTCGTGTTGTGCAAACATTTAGACTTTAACATACATAATACAATTTAAGAATGTATGTGTTTAGCCAATATAAGTATGTATGTTTAATATTTCTAGTCAATTTATTGCACTCAAAAACATAAACATAAACACAGCTGCTGGTGCAGGACAAAAGCTGCCTGCGCTAAAGCAGCGCTGGTGCTGATGCTCGTGCTGTAAAGCTGCCAGCACTAAGAGATCGCCGAATTCAAATTGATAATTTAAACTTTTTGTCCTTTTTATGTTAAAAAAAAAAACAAAATAAAACACAAGAAGGCATATTTATATTAAGTTGTTTAGCTGAGTAACGGGTATCTAATAGTCGAGGCACTCGACTAAAATGTTTAGTGGCTAGCACACGCCAAAAGATTTTATTTTTTAATCTTTGCGCTAGGGTTCACCAAAAGTTCATTTCAGGTGGTTGGCAAAGCGAAGTAATTTATTATTTCGAAGTATTTATTTTTTCGTCGATCTGAGTACCGAGGTAAAAAAAGACTGACGAAAAGTGAACGCCAGCTGTTTGCCTCTCGCTCTCTCTCATGACTAGCGAACATTTTTCGTCGATCTGAGTACTAGGCTTTAAAATCTAGAACTATGGGATTTTTCAATTTCTTGGTCAGAAAAATTTTCTTTATTAAGCCTAGTACTCAGATCGACAAACGAGTACGCTAGCGTAAAAACTTTAATCTTTCCAGTGTGACCAAAATTTTGAGAGTTTATCAGAATAAAGCGTGCCACGGTCGTACCGTCAATCAGCTGGGTTTGTTGACAAGCAGTTAAAGAAAGAAAAGGAAAGAGCCTATAAAATATATTATCAACTACCTTGGCAAGACAAGTCTGCCGCTGCACAAAGAAATTAAAAAAACAATACAATTTAAGTTGAAGTTGTTTTTTTTTTAATTTACTGATATTTATTTGCTAATTTGAAGTTCATAGCTGCACTTTTATTATGTTTTTTTGTACATTTTTGACATAAGAAACATTTTGCTCTGACAAGAGGCAGATAGTTGTAATGTTATTTTTTCCTCACATGTAGACTCCTGCAATCGACTTTTGCGGTTTTATTTTATTTTTTCACTCCATTTTTTAAAATGTTCAGTGAAAAGCGCACGCCAAAAGTTTATATTTTTTAATCTTTTCGCTAGGGTTCACCCAAAGTTCATTTCCGCAGACTGGTGTTTTTTCGTCGATCTGAGGACCAAGGTAAAAAAAACCGTTGACGAAAAGTGAACGCCAGCTATTTGCCTCTCGCTCTCTCTCATGACTGGCGTACAGTTTTCGTCGATTTGAGTACTTGGCTTTAACAACAACACCAGTACAGTGTCAAAAGCCTATTAGATGGCATAATTAGAATTATAGGCCTTCTTCATCTAAATTAGTGTGATTTTGTACGTTGATTATCGTATTAGGAATTGGCACAAACCAATTTAAAATCTTTGAATATAAAATAAAATCCAAAAGAATAACATTTTGTTTTAACGTTTTCGTAACGAACGGTAAAAAGTGATGCCTAGTGCGAACGGCGTATTACAGTTTCGTAGATGAGGTGAATCGAATGCTTCAGGGCAAATATTGTATTTGGATAAATCGATAGTATTGGTTAACATCGATTCTTATAGCAGCTTAATTGTGAAAACAATCTACAGTGTAACCGATGTTGACGATACATCGTTTCTTGGTCGCTGCCTAACAACCACCGTTGACGGAAAAAATAGATGTGGAAGAATAACAATGGCAGACAAATATTCTTCAGATTTGACCCTTGTTGTTATTGCGCAGATAGCACAAACTATTGGGTACAGCAGCACACTGAGTGCACCTTTGGAGTTGTTACAAGATGTAATGCAAAAATTTACGCAGGAGTTTGCCAGAGACCTCCATGGTCATATGGAGCACGGTAAGTGTAGTTAACCAAACCAATGCATTCAAAATCGCCCATTTTCGTTTAATTATTTATTTATAAGTATGTTTATACAAATTAAACTCTAGAGAGCCATTCCATGTAATTTTATCTATCGAAATATGTATTTTTTTATGTTTCATTAAAAAAAAATGGGTGTCACGTTTGAAATGAAATGACCGTATAGACCGTATAGAATAAAACTCGACAAGTGAACCGAGCTACAAGTTGATAGATATCGGAAAAAGGTTATTCACATAACATAATTCGTAATTTATTTCATTGTTTTAGCAAATCGAATAAGGCCCAATATTAAGGACGCACGCCTTAGTATGAAAAGTTTGAACATAAATGTTCAAGAGCTTTTGGATTATATTGGAAATGTCGAGCCAGTGGGTTTCACCCGGGATGTTCCCGAATACCCTATTAGAAAAGCTGTGAATATGAACTTCCTTAAGCCTGGAAGCGCAGAAACCCTAACCCGACCTGTATACATATTTGAGTATTTGCCACCAATGCAGGACCCTGAAACACGGGAGATTCAAGCTGATGCTCAAAAGGGATTTTCCCAAAAACGTGAATTTGGTTTAAATTCAGAGTTTGATGTGACGAGTTCGATGACAAAACCTGGCAACAATCACATTAATTCTCTTTCTCCCAACGCAATGAAAAATTTTCCGTCAAATGCTTTTGACTCGGATGTTGGTCGCTCAGTCCGAGAAATGAGCAGCGTGGTAATGACAACAGGCGGATTTATTAGTCCAGCTATCGAAGGGAAACTCCCAGAAGCTTTCATACCGGACATAATTGGTACGACCTATTCTTAATAAATTAGCTTAAGACAATTTCATATTTTATGTTTCTAGAAAAATACAAAGGTCTGGATGCGCCGTCTCCCGCGTCGATAGTTGTCCACCCTTTGGAATATTCTCCAAAGTTGGTTAAATCTGAAACAGAAGGAGCGATAAGCTCAAAAAAATTAATACCTTACCAACATTCAGAAACAAAAAACTGTAACCAAAACATTGCATTATTGACAAGTGAAAGCACCGAGGCCTCATTATTATTGCATTCTAAGAATATTCCGATGTCAGCCGCACTGTCTTCTACAACATCTAAGAAGAGTAAAAAACAGAAACAAGATTTAACAGGCGAACTCGGCCGAAAAGATAAATTCAATAATGTATGTAAAACTGAGGAAAAATCGCAGCGAAAAGCTTTAAAATTGTATCAAAAACTTTCAAAAAACCAATGTGATAATTCAAATGGTGAAATGCTCCACTTAAAAAAGTCTAAGAAGCGAGTTAACCGGGGTAACAGCTCATCTGATCTCAGTAATATACATCTAGAAAAGATGCTAAAAAAGCAGGCTAAACATGTGCAAAAAAGTCTTCAGATTGAAAATGACGCGAAAAGCTTTGGCTACTTACAAACTTCTCAAACCATGAGCGCATTTCCTTCTGATACGATTTTAAATACAGAAAATCCTCTTTCAGTTAATATCCCTAGTGAAGAATCTGGGGTTATAAAGCAGATTGCGAGTAATTCCCAAAACTCCATTTTTTCTGTACAGCACGGTGCAACACAACCATCTCCAATTTCTGAATCGGACAAAAAAAACACATGCGAACCGGAACGAAATAAGTTGGATATCTTTAAGAAAATTTCCAAACCCCGAACCATTCGTCAGGATGGTGGCGCTATATCGGGACCGCCAGGAATGGGAGTACGTGTTTTTGGTAACTCAATATCCGGTTCGCCATTAATAAGTCTTCCATCTGGGACTACAATAACACCTACACCTCCGTTAGGGCTGAATACAGAGAACATAAACGTTCCTAGTGTGAAGATAAACCATTTTGGTATATTGAATCAAACACCACACTCACCTAAAGCAGACGTTAAAATGTCAATTATTGATTCGGTTAAGCCAAAAAAACGAGGCCGCAAACCTGGCGGTAAAAATCTATTAAAACAAACCAATTTTACATCACATTCCCTGGTTGAATCTGCAAAAAGGGAAAAATCTACGAATGAAATCTTACTCCCGCCTTCCTCATCTGTGATGGTCGTGTCCCAAAATATCTTGAACGTCCCAATACCAACAGAGCCTCTTAACCTATGCAATTCTGAACAAGTCTCGAGTGAATCTTTACAAAATTTTCATGCACAAGATAAAAAGGAAAGAAAAAAGAACAAATCAAAATATGACACTAGCATACCAGAAAATATAAAGGAATTCACTAACAACGTGTATTCCACAGAAAAAAAAACCGCAACAATAACTTCTTCTATTTACGCTCCTAAAAAAAAGAATATTGTACCCTGTCCAGATCCATTTATGGCAGTTTCCAGCACATTATCAAACACATCAATGTACTCAGGTAACCAACCCGGAATGGTTCCTCTGCTTCCGTTGTTGCACTTTCCGCCGCGACCGGGCCTGATACCTTCGGGACCTGGTCTTTTTCCTGCTGTAACTGGTCTGGTCGGATTTGGCAATAATAGTAACAGAGTCGGTATTACGCCGTTTATAGCGTTCTCAGGTCAAGATGGATCGGTTCCTGATGCCGTTAGATGTCCACCAAATAAAGATTCTGCTGGTACGTTATATTGATGAAATAATTTAAGATAATAAATATTTTTTTATTAACAACCAAAACAAAATTGTAAACTGCAAAATGCTTTTACGTATATTGAACAAATAAGATTGAGGTTTTTATTGTCTTAATAAATGTATACACACAATATAAATGATAACAAGCCAGGCTCGGTTTTCCGCGATTATTAACTATTCCTTAAGGTTTGAAATGAAAATTTTAAACTTTATCATTTTATAAAAAAAAACTAGTAGTACAGTATATTAAAATCTTTTATAAATTCTAATTTACAATCGTTCGTTTTTTCAAATGTTTCTCACTGAAAAAAACTGATATAGAACAAAATGAATTTATAAAAATTTGTTTGCAAAAAAATTGAATATTTGTCTTTGGGGAAAATTGTACAAACGATATTCTTAAATATAAAAAACAAAGATTTCTTGCAAATGCTTAAACTGTATTAGCGGTTTTTTTATATTTAGTGGTAGTTTTTAAAGCTGATCGCAAAATCAGGTTGATTGAATTAGATTATATCAAAATTGGAGACTACTGGCACCCCACTCAATTTTTTTGAGTATCTAAAGATACCAAATTCTTTTAATAAGGGCTTTTCGTGTTAAGGTCATTATCCTACTTATAGTCCTCTTTTAACTATTATTATATTAGAGTGGTCTGGTACTTACATGTGTTCTAATATCCAGAACATCAGATCAATTACCGAAGCTTAAAGCCAACTTTCTAGCATGGTATTTCCCTTTAAATCTGTAGAACATTTTTTTGGAGTGTTTTTAATTAATTTTTTTTGGGCGCATTTAACCACAACAACAACAACAAAAAATTATTTTTAGTTTGTTAGATCACAAAGTATTATTTAGATTTCGGTGCTCTTATAAGGCTGTAGCTTATCGATATTTATATTGACGAATTGAATTTGCCTTCAAAAGATTTTTTTATTAAGCAACTGGAAAACGATGCTGTCAATGTGTTTAGAGGCCTTTTAAAAAATTAAATGTAGGTTGCATTATGCCTAGATTCTTCATCGCCTTGGTAAACGGCAAAATCCCTTTTTTTTATATTATTTAAATTAGTTGTGAAGTGCACTTTGCAACCCATTCTGAATATAATCGGGTTTTTACCAACATTTAAATTTTCTGCTAAGCTTACCTTAAAGTATTTAAAGTAAATCTTTATTTTCGAAATAAACAGATTCTAATCCAAAATTTAGGTTTAAATCGATCGCGTTTTTATATTTTTCAGCCAAAACAAGTAGTCTATCTTAAAAAGATGGACTCTGTAAGTAATAGAAGCGTGCGCGACTCAAAAAGGAGCGCAAAATAAAGTATGGATATCAGTGCTCTATCAGCTGTTAGTTTGTATTTGTACACATTTAGCAATTGATTGGGTTTAAAGTGCAAAGGAAAATTTGGTTCTATTATTTGTTCCACCTCTGTAAGTATTCGAATTGTAAACAAAATTGGTTAATTCTTTTTCTTAAAAGTGAAATTAATTTTTCATTTATAAACTTTACACTGAATTAACCCTGCTTAGAAATGCAAAAACAAAATCATATTCACCCATTATTCAATACGATCTGAAAACCGCGGTCGGCACAGACACATGCAGGCTAATTAAATTAAAATCGGACCTCTATATCATGCAGCTCCCATAGGAAAATCGAAAAATAAAAAAAATAAAATGAAAAAAATAATTTATTTTGCTGTTTTTCTATTTATCAAAATATTTCGTTGAGATATAGTAATTATTTACTATATCAGAATTACGCTTTTAGTTTTGTTAAAACTAAATCGGACAACAATATTATATAGCTGCCATAGAAACGATGGCAAAATGCAGCGCAATATAGGCATAGAAATCGAAATGTAGTCGGTTAGTAATAACTTCAAAAAACTAAAAAATTTAATTTTTTAAAAATGCCATAAGAAAGGGAATCTGATATTATAGCAGATATTTCAAAAATTAAATATTCTATCAAATTATTTTATTTGAATTGTTATAAGCGAAGTCGGTTTTCAAATACATTTTTTGATAGTTTCCGATGTTTATTAAACTAAAACTCTAATTCTGAAATTTTAGAAAATCACTAAATGATATGATCGTCCGATCTTTCCCGTCTTATAGACTGCAATAGGAAAGTTTCATCCAGATAGATAGCTTCAAAACTGAGAGTCTAGAGAATTGAGAATTACTTTATAATTTGATTACTGTCGGGAAAAAACAGATATCTCAAATTTGTATGTAATGTGTGTATGCTTTAGCAAAACACAAATTTTTTTACCTAGGCCTTATTATTTTAAGTGTACCCAAGTATCAGAGATCCATGGATCTTTTATTCTTATTTCTAACAAGCTATTCACATTTTAGAAAGGCAACCAAACAAGTCGATGTTTTTAGGTGAAAACATAAATTGACTTTGTTTCATTGGCCACAATTTTTTAAGTACATGAAGGAAATATTAATATACCAATATTCATCAAATTTATTGTTTAACTTTAAGTATGAATTTGCATTGGCATTATAAACACTGATGGAAATCCAAAGAATAAAGACTAAAAACAACCACTTCTCTGGAATTTAACCAGACATGCTAAGTTCAACTTCCTGAATTCTAGCAATGTATTGGTGGCAAGCGCTTCTATCAGGCTAGGTATGTTAGCAATTTTTACGGTGATAATCGTGGAACATGCATATCCGTTTTAGGCTCGTAGTTCTATTTGGGTGAGTTTTTATAAAGTCGCGACTTAGATTTACTTCAAATATAAGACGACACATGAACCGGGTTGGGTTACCTTATTACTATTATGTGCAATAAAAATCAAAAGTTAGAAATCTGGAAAAATGTATTAACAGTTATTGATATTGGCCATAGCAGGTGAGAAAGGAAAGTTCAGGCGGCTTTACAATTAACACATTGAAGGCCCAATAATGCTCGGACGAACCGTGTTTTAGTCAACCCGCTTGCTTTAACATTAAAATAACTTTCCTTTTTATTTACTATATTCAAGATACTGATTCTAATCAGTTCCTGAGACGATCGTCTACCCAGACGGACCTGCAAATGGATCGAAACTACTGCAACGTTGCCCCGTTGGTTCCAGACTCAATGAAATTGGCCGATTGTAAGTTTAAGGGTAAATAAAAATATCAATGTAATATTAACTTGTTTTGACTTTAGGTAAAGCTTTAACTTGTGGCAATGACTTGGTTCCACCTAAATTTATGAAAAAACCATTAGTGCAGGCTTCTGGAAATCTTGGTGATCCAATTGAGGTCTCCGATGACTCAGATGAATCAATACAAAACAGGCAGCTGGCTCAAAGAAAATCCCCATTATCATCTCCAATCCTTCCTAGATCAAGCTTGATACAGCCTCTATCGTTTGCACCGTCTACATCTATATGTGAAGATGATTCCCATCTGGATATAAGAAATAACTTGCTTTCAAGCTCCAGTGAATCAATCAAAAAATTGAAGAAGCCGGTTAAAATGACCCTTCCCGATGTTAAAAACATAATTCACGCATCTCCTTCATCTTCATCATTTCCGCAATTCAACTTGCCAAATTTTATGGGAGGTGGTGACAAGTTCAGTTTAGCTGGGGGAGCCGATCTCATCCCATTGTCAAGAGTGGATTGTGGATCTGCTTATTCATCTCATAAGGTGCCATCTAGTAGCTTGACAGGGGCCGCTACATCGGGGATAAACCCCATTCTGACAAATCATATGAACATTTCAGAGGAGCAGAAATTTTTGCCAACATTTGCAAACTACGAAGATATTACAATCACACCAACTGGAGCAATGTCGATAGATCTTAAAGGTCGCAAACATCATAAAAAGCTTAAAAAGATTAAGGACGGCAAAATTAAAAAAAAAAAGGACAAAAAAGATAAATCAAAGAGAAAAGATCGAATCGGCATAACGTCCTATAAGACCGACCGAAAAATTAAAGGGCTTGAAAAAAAACAGAAAAAGGAAAAGAAAAAGGATAAGGATAAGCAGGTTGGTCACAATTCCATTATAAAAAAAAATGGTTATAAGTATTTCCTAAGCCGAATTCGGTTTAGGAAGTGCTAATTCTTGATACAATTGTGTATTAACACAGACGGGTTTTTGTATCACGATTCCAAAATGATGTTCCCACGCGCTTCGTTAACATTGTTTCAAATATCGTTTTAGATTTTAATCCATATACCGGATGAAGCAGAAGAGTTTCCCAGGGTGCCATTAATAAAGCATGTTGAACTTGGATCTGCTCAAAGTGTACTCGTCAGTGCACCTGTGTTGAAACTAAGTCCAATGATTATAAAACCGACGGTAACGGTCACACGTGCAATGTCTCCTAAGTTACAGCCGTCTCCAAACCAAATACCAAAACTAACACTGAAACTTTGTGGAAAATCTACACCGCTTCCAATTTCGGAAAACAACACAGAGGCTTCTGATACAGAAATAGAAAAACAGACCACTACAATTCCCGTAGACAAGATTGAGCGTGAACGCCATAATTCTCCGGAGCTAGCTCGCTTTTCCCCATTAGTCACTGGGCCACCTAAAAACAAACAATGTAAGTCGGGTAATTATTTGAATTATTTTGTTTTCTAATACAAAAATTAATTGATTTCAGCTGATACACATTTATTGAGCATCTCCAGCACGGCACCCTCTTTAAACAACAGTTCTAATAGTTCCGCGCCGTTACCCACCCCAATAGCTACGAGGCCAACACAGATTCCGATAAGTCATCAACAAACTTCATCTAATTCAGCCGGTTGGTTGTCGAATTCTAATAACAGTAACGCTGCTTCGTCTACGCTTTCGGCTAGTTCTGTTTTGTTACCACAGCAATTGATGTTAAATCCTAATCCGATTATAAATAACTTTTCATCAGTAATGACCAATAGTGCAGGGCCCGCACCAAGGAGGGGCTCTTTCAGTCCTGCCACAAATATTCCAGAAGATAGCTTGAAAGTTGCAGAAACAAGTCGCCCGTCATCATATGTTGACGCCGAAGGGAATCGTATATGGATATGCCCTGCTTGTGGAAAGGTAGACGATGGTTCTGCTATGATTGGATGTGATGGCTGCGATGCGTGGTACCACTGGTATGATAATAGTAATCCAAATCTGCTATCCTAAAATTTACTTACAAAAAGATTTAATTTTAGGATCTGTGTAGGTATTACTTTTGCACCTAAGGACAATGATGATTGGTTCTGCCGCGTTTGCGTTACAAAAAAAAGAGTTCATGGGTCAGACAAGAAAAAGAAACGAAACAAGAAAAAGTGATTTTTAATTATGTTAAAAACAACTTATTTTAGCACTATTATGTAAATGTAAATTTTTATATTCGTAATTTTTTAATTTATACCTAGATAACCCGTAGCGGGATTTCTTTGTCGTATAAAACAATTTAATGCCTTAATAAAAATTGTGTTTGTTATTTTAAACATTGTTTTTAAGCCATCCATTCGATAGCTCTTGGCCTGTAAACGTATTCAGTGAATTCAATAATAATACTATCCGTAATCTATAGTCCATATTTATCGTATAATTAGAATTCTATCGCCATCTCTGGAAGGAAATCGCCATTCATTTTCACAAAGGAGATCGCAGGTGAATGGATATAGGCTTTTGAAGAGTTGATTACCGGAAAAATTATACATATAAGTTAAATAATCCCCACTTTGATTACTTAACTATTTGATAAGCTTTTATCATATCAGAGGAAAGGACGAAATGCACAATTTCTTTGGATCTGCGAAACGCATTGATTTAGCGTTAATTATTGGTATTGAGCGGTGGAAAACGTCCATATTCAGCGATGGCAAGTATAGAACCAGTTAATGGTACATTTTAAAGGGGCTTTCACATCTCATTTTTATCGGTCATCTTTTTTAAGTAATATAGATTTTTTGACATGGTGGCCATTAATTTAGCACACCAAGCAATTCCACACTTTTTCTCTTTGCTTAATTCCTCGAAGTTTTTTAATACACTAACAGGTGTCTCATTCACTAAACTGTTTGCTAAGGCCACGAATTTATCACTTATGTAACTTATTAAAATCTAATCAACAACAGGTTTTTCTTGATAAAACTGAATATTTGGTTGAATGATCACTAACGCTGCGATACCCTTCTGAGGATAATAATACCAATAATTTTTTATTGCAGTCTATAAATCGGTTAAAAATTGACTTTTGTGAACAAAATATGTTCATATGTTGTGAGTGGGGTCTAAAGAAAAATACATTACATCTAATTAGCCAGATTACATTTTCTGGTTTTAGTCAGCATAGTTGTAGTTAGTGCTCAAATGACTTCGTTTTATTGATTCCATTAAAACAATTGCATAACAGACAGACCAGCGATTGGTATACATCCCAGAAGGACTTTACGTTAGCACGACCTTTGTGTTTTGCTTGCTTCTACCGTATTTCACAGAGTTTCAGTATAATCAGACTCTTGAGCTGAAGCCGTACTATAGATATCTAAATCTAAATTTTGTAATATCTGAGGCATCTGAGGTCCTGGCACTACTTTAGGTGCTGCGTGTTAATCGATGCGAAGTCATTCACAAAAGCTTTATAATAACTTGCCAAACCAAGGAACGATCTGATACTACATAAGTTTTTTGGATCATGGGTCTGTTTTGGTCCCGTTCTTCGCATTTAAACTTATGTCAGCCTTGTGCAGCCCTCATATGGGCACAAGCATTTTAATACTTCGTCAATATGCCTATCGTGTTCTTCGTTAGTCTTAAAAAAAATTCGTTTTATTCACTGTTGACTGAGAACTGGACTGAACTGAATATAGATTTGTGGTATACCAGCGATCAGTCTAGGAGAGGAAAAAAAGTTGGCTTTTCCCAGGTTTGCTAGAATCATGGGAATACTCGGGACTGGGTATCGATCGGCGACAGTTGCTCATTCAGTATTCTGAATCAACAACCCGTTGATTTTTCTTCGCAGCGGCGTCGATTCTGTTTTCTCTACAGTTCATGTTGACCTGTTATATGGGTCGAATATGGGCGAATAATTTCATCTTTCAATAACTGTTTGAATTCATTGTTAATGAAATCTGATACACTCATACACCTTATAATAAACCGGATTATTATCTTCTGTATGTGGCGTGAGATCGAAAACGGCTCATTTCGCTTCAGTATCATATGTTTGAGGTACAATGTAGTATACATGTGTGAAGTAACTGTTCTGATAACTGTAGTAACAGTAACTTGGAACTCTGTTTCGTCTCTCCTGCTCACGAAATTCTTTGCCGTCCCGGATTAAAAAAAATAATAAAAATATAAAATTTTTTCCCAGTCGCCACATGGATTTAATGAAAGGAAGCGCCATCTAAAAATATTCAGTAAGTCATTTTGTCAGCGGAATCATTGTCATCATCCAAATCTGTCATTTCGGCAATTGCTGCGGCCCTATAATTCTGGTCCTTGTTTTCAGTGTTGTTTTGACCAGCACTATTTATTCGTTGGGTTTTTTGGCCTGTCAGCTTAGATTGGCTCTGTCTTTTTTGTGCTTGTTTGCCACCGGTCTGATTGCACCCATAGTTAATTGGCTGCATTTGAAGATGTATCTGTAAGCAGGTTTAAATCTTATTTTTGGAGCATGCTCACTATTCGGTTGCATCCATTCTTCTTTTCTTTTTTTATTGTTTAGATCGACCCTGATTTTTGCCATAACTATGACGTAAGTTTTATTTTTCTCAATGGCATACGTTCGATAATAGCTTTAGCCTCCTACAATCCTAAGGCGGATGGTAGGTCTTTAGGTTGAGCTTGGAATACCACTGCACTCAAAAACGTATTAAGTCCTGAGATAAACGCGTGCAACGTGTCGCATTTTACTCTTCGTTAAGTGACAAGGCGGCGTAAGTCGCTGGGGTGATGACAATTTTATTTGTGACACGAGTTAGTTTTCGCTGTGCCGCCCTGACCATGTCTTTTTTTTTTTTTTTGTAGATTGTTGATCTGATGAAGAATATGTATACTTTATAGGTTCGGAAATGTGCCCTTCACTGCACTGAATACTTTTGAATAAAATTAGAATACTGGAATTGTACTTTTTGATAGTGTCAAAGAATAACATCAAATCGACGGCATCTAAATGATAGTAAAAATGTAAGCAAAAGCAAATGTGAGTATCATTAAGAAACTTTAAATCCATTGCGTTTCGCAAACAACAATTTTTTTCAGCTGTTCATTCTGTTGTTTTAAAGGAATATTTATACATGTGTTCCTGGCTTTACAGGTTGGTCGAAGGGCCAGCTTCGTCAAGAAAAATATCCGTAGCCAACAGGTGTACATACATTCTCCGGATGTCACGCATATCCAGCGAAATCGTTCACGCCCACGTCTTGCAGTACCTCGTCGTCCACAAAAAACTGGGCAGTGTATTCCTTGGAAATATAGCGTAGGCCGCGTCGGACATTATCTCGAGCTTCCGAGAGTACAATGCGCCTCCTGATCCGCTGAGCATTTCGATGGCTGCGGTGTGAATCGTGTTGCGGGGAGAGCGCGTTTACGGCCACGCCCTGTGCACGGAATTCCTCCGCAATGCCCAGAACGCACTTGGACATGCCGTATTTGGCGATTGTGTAGGCTTTATGGTTGGCGAACAACTTGGGACTCAAGTTCAGTGGGGGGGCAAGGTTCAGAATGTGAGGGTTCTCGCTGCGCAGCAGATAAGGCAGGCAAGTCTTTGATACTAGAAAAGTTCCCCTGGCGGTGATGTTCTGCATGAGATCGTAGCGTTTCATTTCCGTGTCAAGGGTTCCCGTAATGGATATGGCGCTGGCGTGGTTCACCACCGCCGCCTCTACGGCTTTCTGCACCTGCCGCTCGTCACGCACATCGACAGTGCAGGGAAGCGCCCGACCTCCGGCCCGTTCGATCTCCTCCGCTGCCGTGTATATAGTTCCGGGCAGCTTTGGATGCGGCTCAGCGGTCTTGGCTGCAATGACTATATTGGCTCCATCCCGGGCCGCCTTTAAAGCGATTGCCTTGCCGATTCCACGGGAGGCCCCGATAATGAACAGGGTTTTTCCTTTCAGTTTTGCAGAGTTCTTCATGCTGTAGATTCGTAGTCTAACTCCTGTTCGTTCTGAGCTTTATGCTCACATTAATCAGAAAAGTACTTTAATCGCACTCATTAAGTGCTTTCAGTGACGAATCATTTAAGGCCCCGTTTACACTTGGACTCTGTCTTGGCTTTTATAGCATCGAAATTAAGTACCGTGTTATACGACACTGGTCTTTTAATCTTGTTACTAATAATCGGACAGCCTTATAATTCGAACTGCTGCCTTTATATGGCTTGAAAAGTTCACATGCATTTGTGGCTGACTGCCGCCGGTACACTTCAAATTGTGGCGCAGCCAAGTGAAGAATTTTGACCTGTTGTTGTATTTAATGGTTTCCGAAAAATACGGCTTTGTCTCTGCTCTTGTTCAGCTAGGGCGGCCGCAAGACGGGTCTACTTGGTTTAAGTCCATTTCTAACATTTATTGAGCATGCTTGGGAAATCAATCTAACCTTCTAATTAATAATAAATAATAAACATACACGCAACGTTCATAGATCGTCGCATTATGCGTGGATGGTGAAAACCAGTTAATTATTTAGCCTTATCAGACGGAAAGAATAGTCCGAGTGTTAGCGAAGCAGCTGGCTGCGCGGAAAACAAATGTATCTGCGTCACTACACAGTACTCTAAAAGGTTAATGCATATCATATTTGATCTATAATGATTTAAAGTAAGAGGAATAAAGTTCCTGATAATTCTATTCTCCACATCCCCGTGAATAAGTTTATGAATAAAAGTAGTGCATCCGGCTTAAGCATCGTTCTACGGTTTAATACGGATCGTAGATTAATTAGAAGAAGTCTACTAGAGTAGGATGGTAAAATAAGGCTTGCATTCCAGTTAAGGCCGCGTACAGCAAATTTTTTTTTTTTTTTTTTTTAATATATGCTTTATTTATTGAATCTTCTCTATATGAGACTAACAATAAGTATATCAAATCTTAAGAATATAACTTAACTTGTTATGTCACGTAGACTGAATTTAGACTAACGGGCCCTAAAATTTATTGCTGGGCTGGTAGATCGTTACGATGCAGACGAGTTCTGTTCGAAACCCGTCTTAGGTTCCTTGCGAGATTATTTGGGTGCAGTGTAAGCTTGTTATGGTAGGCCGCTTTCTGCTTTGCTATTTCATCTTTGACCGGTGGTATGCCCAGATCCCTGTGGATGTTTTCGTTCCGAACATACCATGGTGCCCCAGTGATTGTTCGCAGGATTTTTGATTGTGAGCGCTGTATGATGTCAACGTTGCTGTTGGTCGCGTTCCCCCAGAGCTGGGAGCCGTAGGTCCAAATGGGCTTAAGGGTGGAGTTGTAGAGAAGAACTTTAAAGTCCAGACACAGGG